AAAAACTGCTAAATCATGGATATGGGACCTTATAAATACTGGTTTAACAGCTGCTTCATATGGAGTTCTTCAATACCAAATCGGAAAGATATGGGCAGTACTTGGTGAAGAAGTTTTAAATGACGTTAAAAATGCTTTGAACTTCATTTCAAATGGTTCGGATACTATTAAAACTTTATCTGGTTGGATGCAAGAAACAAGGAGTCAAATAGATACTGTAAGACGTATAGCAAACAATGCACGTACGGGATTGGATACTTTACGACAAGCACAAAATACACTAAAGGAAGCAAATGATATTCTTGGCTCAGTATCAGACATGCATGAAGATTGGCTTAAAGGTATTGACAAATCTTTAAAAAATCACAGTCAGTCTATTGCTGACTACAAGAAAAGTATAGATTTTTTACATAGTGCTATGGACGTACATGATGGAAGCATAAGGAACTTACTTAATGCTAACAATAACTTACCAGGAACTATTAAAGCATTTATAAAGTCCTTTGTAAAACCCGGTGCTCTAACATTTAGGTCTTTGAGAGCAAGAGCATTGAAGTCAAGAGATGCAGAAACTCCAACAGAAGGAACTGAAACAACAAACTCCAGAAGAACCACCAAAACCAACAGCTAATGAAATATTGTTCGAATATTTTCCAAGGTACTCTGTTCTCATTGCATACATTCAAGAAATACTTAAGAAAGCAGACTTGACTTTAGGAGATGATGAAAGTTCTGTATATCTTTCGTTCCAGTTTCAAATAGCAGAACTTTTGAGACAGATATGCTTAATGTATGACAACATCTCTGATTTCACAAGATATGATGACGACCATGACCCCGAACATGGTGAAGAAGAAGTTTTACAAACATCCATTAAGACAGGAAAGGTTTTAACTCAAAGTCTCATTATTGACACCAAAGATGGCGAAGTGGACGTTCTTCAAGAGCTGAAGAAAAATACTTCTTCGGGAGGTGGTGGTAGGCATGAACTTGAAATAAATGAGATAGAAGAGAAATTAGCCGAAAAAGCAGATAAAGAACATAAACACAATATCTCCGATATAAATGAACTTCAAGCTACATTAAATAGTAAAGCGGACAAAATGAACTTGACGCAACGAACAAAGTTTTGAAATCTCATAAACACAATATCTCCGATATAAATGAACTTCAAACTTCTTTAGACAATAAAGCAGACAAAAACCATGTTCATTATATAAGTTCTGATGAACAGATTATAACGGACTATCATGGATATTTAACACAGGGTGAAAAAGTGAATACGAAAAATGTTAATGAAAGAAGATATAAATTCATTCGTGCTAAAGGTTATGACATACACTGTACTGTACAGTATGACACAGGTATAGCACCACAATCATTTGGTTATAACGCTGAAATTTATGCTCATACTTTCTTTGTTAACGGTGTATTAGTTGAACCAAGATTTACTTTGAGAGTTAAGGCAAAAATAACGTTTGAAGATGCTATTAAAAGTAAAGCTGACAAAGTTGAACTCGAAGCAACGAACAAAGTTTTGAAATCTCATAAACAAACATCTCCGATATAAATGAACTTCAAGCTACATTAGACAGTAAAGCTGACAAGAACCATACACATAAATCCTTCACTACTGTTAGAGCAGACGACATAATATTGAACTTTGACCTTGGTTCAAGTGCACCATTAGAAATCCAAGTACAAGCGTAAAAGATACTCTTAACAGTTTAGATAAGAGTTGCAGGAACATTGAAAGTCATGCCAGAAACTTTGAAGCATGAACTACCAACAATGTTAGATAAGAAAGCAGATAAAACTTATGTGGATGCAGAACTAACAAAGAAATTTTCGAAACCAGATACAATGACATTTACAACAGAAATTATAAATGGTGAACCAGCAACTCCATTTGAATTTGTTAGAGGTCTTCAACCAGATACTTTTGAATTTTTCTTGGATAATTCTATTGAACTAACATTACATTATAAAAGTGGAACAAATGCAACATTTCATCCGGGAGATACATTCCAAATGGTATTTAATGACATAAGTTTTTAGAATATGTTTATAGAGTTATGAGCATATATGATTTAATATATCCTATAGGAGCTGTTTATACGTCTATGAATCCAATAAATCCAAACACTTTATTTGGTGGTAGATGGTATGAAATAGTTGACAGTTTTCCATTCTACACTAATACGCAGTCAATGAAGATGGGAGGTTCAAAGAAAATAGGTATTGAAAACCTTCCTTCACATATGCATAGGTTCAGTGGAAGAACATCTGTGGAAGGAAACCATTCACATTCAATAACAAAAAGAGGTTATATAAATCTTGCAGCGGGTTCGAATAGACAGGGAATGAACAGATATGATATCTCAGATGACCCAAAGATGTTAGCACAGGTATTTTCTGTGGAACTGCAGGAAATCATACACATGTTGTAGCTGGTATTACAGACCCAGCAGGTAATGGAAAAGATTATATGCCTCCTTATATAACAATGCACGCTTGGATACGAGTTGGTTAAAATCTTTAACTTTACATAAATGAGCTTGAAAGAAGTATTCGAACAACATCCATGGAGGTCATTTAAGAAGTTCAATGAAGCTGCAAAGAGTTGGGGATTTACTAACAGAGCTGAAGTAAAAAGGTTCTTTGACAAAAATGTTGTACATCAAACAAAAATAAACCCTTACGACTACTTTTTACCAATTTACTCCAACACTCCTGACGCATACCAATTTGACACTCTCATTCAAAGCAGAAAAGGAGGACATAAACCATTCCTCATCTTCATAAATGTTAACACTCGTAAAGCATATGCATATCCAATGAAAAATAAAGGAACTCGTGAAGTGTTAAGAGTTTTACAAAAGTTTGTAGCAGAACATACCCAAGTACTTTAACATCAGACCAAGACAGTGCATACCTCAGCAATGAAATCACAGAATTTCTCATTAAGCATAACATAACTCACTACACTACTGAAGACCATAACCATAACATACTCGGCATCATAAACCGCTTCATAAGGACTCTCAGAGATTTAAACCAAGAGCGAGACTTTACCGAAGAAACAATGAAACATTTTCTCGAAGTATATAATTCCTCAACACATTCTACAACAGGACATACACCAAATTCAATGACACAACAACAAGAAGAAAAGTATATACAAAAGAAACGAAGCCAAACACAAAATATCAGAAATTCAACACAATTTACCCTCATTCCTGGTACAAAAGTTCGTGTAGTTCTTGACGACAAACCGTTGACAAAGAAACGTTTAAGGTTAAGTCGAAATTATTATATTGTAGACTCTACGCAAGGTAATGGATATCTTATAAAAGCTGCCGACGACTCTATTGCGTTTTATCCTCGACATAAATTAGTCGAAAGTAGTAATGGCAAACTTGCTGAAACCATTGACGAAGCAAAGCGAGGAGTGGTTATTGAAATACTTGGCTACAACATAAACGATGACACTTATAAAGTAAAATATGAAGGAGGCGTTGAAGATGTTATACCATCTAAGAACTTGAGAGAATCTAAACCAACTCATCTGGGACCATTAGAGCGGGAGTACTGGAAAGATAAAAATAAGCCAGAAAGAATAAGAAAATTCTTCTAAACTTTTTCATTAGATGTAAATCAGACATGAACGAGAACAGTCATGGAATTATTAATGGTACCATTTATTTTTGTCATAAATTTACACCAAAAATATAATTTAGGTGAAGAGGTGAGATGTCACCCGTTTTTTCACCTGTTTTCTCACCTCATGAATTTGTCATGATTTCATCGTAGAAAACTCATGAAAACAATTTATTTTTAAAACAATATATTTTTTTTATTTTATTTGAAATGTACGCTGAGTTTGTTGGAGAAGACCGTTGGGAAACTTGTTTGTTAGATGAGAAATATGAAATTCACTGTTGTGAGTCATTTGAAGTCAGAAACAAAAAGACAAAAAGAGTTTTAAGCGAATGGGAGCGAAATGACGGATATGCTGATATGAAGATGGGTGGAAAACACTATCTTAAACATGTTGTCATTGCAACTCATTTTATACTGAATCCTAACAATTTACCTTTTGTAGACCATATAAACCATATAAGAAACGACAATAGACTTGAAAACTTACGTTGGGTCACTTATTCTGAAAACAATAAGAACAAAGGCAAATTTGGAGATATTATATTCGAATTTGTCGACGAACTAGAAGATGAAACAATTGAAATTACAGACTATGGCAAGCATACGTTTGAGTTTTACTACTATAGCGAAGAACAAGACTCTTTCTACTTTTATACCGGCGTAAACTATAGGAAATTACAAGTATATTTTACTAAGGCGGGCTATGCTTATGTAAACACTAGAGATACAGATGGAAAATACGTTCGAATACTTCTTAACAAATTCAAGAAGCTATATGGCATACCATTTTAAAACAATATATTTTTACATATATTAAATGCTTCAGGTTGAAAGAATACGGTGGAGCCAAAAGTGGCTCGACCTCAAAACAAACATTTTATGAGCTTACAAAGGGTGTTATGAATGAATTCAGCAACATACATCCTGACCTCGTTCATTTTGTTGCTAAATTCAGTAAAAATAATGTTTAGGTGAAGAGGTGAGATGTCACCTGTTTTTTCACCTGTTTTTTCACCTCATGAATTTGTCATGAATTTCCTTAAGACAGAAAAAATAAAGTTAGTTTTATTTTTTTTATTTTTTTATTTTGTATAAAAGATATGATTTCAACAATCGGCACAACAACAATTCAAGCCGCGAACGGCGGGACTCTGTCCACAACAACAGCACCAAACTCGTTAGTCATGAATCCTACGTCAATGTTAGTAGAGATGAAAAACTTCATTCCTTCTTCATATACTTTCGAAACAAAAATCCAGAAGATAAAGCAAGAACTTTTAACAAGTAATTTAGACTGTAGTGCGAAAGATGAAGAAAATGAAGAATATCTTTATGAAATGCAGGACATTATTGACCATTTACCCAAATTGCCTGAAATCCAACAACAAAAACTCACTATTCCTGAATTCGACGAAATTGAAGTGAAACCAACTGACTCAGTAGAAATAAAGAAGTTCATACGTAAAGTAAATTATGAATTCCTTGGTTTTCATTGCAACCATAAGGTTATGGACAAAGATTGCGACATGGTATATAAAAACATTTCTGACATATATAAATCTGAGGAGTTTAAGACTTACGATAACTTTGTTTCATTAGTTGCAAAATGTGTTTGGGAAATAAGAGATAAAGATAGAAGAGGCAAAGTATGGAACGAACAAATAAGACCCGCTATGTTTGAGATGAAGAGAGCAATTGACGCCTTAGTTGTTTTAGCTGGTTTTATTTCAATGTATAACGCAAAAATGAACCCGCAATGTTCAAAATGTAAGGCAGCAATTAGGAAATATAACTACTCAGTCAAAGAGATAGAAAGAATGAGAAACGACTATGCAGATTTAAAGAAAGAAGTAGAAAAGCCAGCAGAAGATAAAATGAACATGTTAGAATTTCTGAACAAAAACTATCCAACAGCAGAAGATTTCCTTCTATCTGACGTCAAGAAGAAGTATAAAGAAACCTTCGGTATTGTTAAAACTTTTGACATACTGACAGAAGAAATAGAAGCTACGAAATTGTTTAGGATTTCAAATATACATCGTACAATTCATGTAAAACGCTGATAAAATAACTAGGGTGAAAAATTAGGTGAAAAAACAGGTGATATCTCACCTCTTCACCTAAATTATATTTTTGTTCAAAGCTTCCACGAGAGAAAAGATTCCTCATTCGCTAAGGATTCCAAAAATGAAAAAATCATTGATTTCGGCTGAGAAAAAACAGCAAAACCCTTCTTCCACGGGAACAAAGAAATAAAGAAGAAATAAAGAAGAAATAAAGTAAATTTTTTATTTATTCCCGTGGAAGATAGAGCACTTTTATGACACTTTTTATTCACGACAAACAAGCAAACAAAAAAGAAAATAAGAAAATACGGCGCTGTCGCGGTTCGAACCACAGACTCTGACCCCTCCATAACACCACCTTAGACCACTGTGCTACGTAGCCTGTCGACATAAGATTTTATAAATTGCATATTTGACGTAAATTTATTTCCATCTAGCTTCCCACCGCATAAGATATTCATACGTGTTTGTAAGACATTCATTAAACTTCTTTTCTATTGCATCTAATCTTGCGTTATTTTTTTCAATAGCTTGTCTGTATTCTTCATCATCTCCAGCAGTGTTTGGGTCTTCACGTTTAAAATATTCATTGTTAACCAATTTTTTATCTACAAATTTTATTAGTGTTTGATTCACTTCGTTATGATAACGGTCATATTCTTTCAATACGTAAGTGAAGACAAAATGCGTCGTACCTTCAATCTTAAAGCTTAAAGAACTTTCAACACAGTTTTGAGGGTCTGTCAGTGCGTCAATGAGATAGTATTCGAAGTCAGTCAATAATCTTTTTAAAGTCATTTCATACAGGATAAAATTTAATGTTGTGAAGAAATAGTGTTTATCTCAGAAAAAATAACGCTAATTTTATTTTTATTTATTTTTTATTTTGTATGTAAAGACAGTAATGACAACATCAGAGAACACAACAACAGTTATAGTCCATGAAGCAATAAATGAAGAATACGAGTACATACAATATAACAAACAGTTACGTCTCATTCGTTCAGTCAAAGATGACATGTACCAAATGCAAAGTATTTTGACAGCATGTTATGCTCCAGATACTAAACTTCCTAAAGACTGGTTTAGGAACCAAAACTATTGAACTATTAAATGAAGCACAGCGAGACATACTTTTTTCTGAAAACAGTGAAGAACAGCGAGTAGGTAAAAAACCCCAGTCGCCAAAACTCTATGAAAATCGTGAAAAATTGCCAAACGGTTTGAGAGGATATTATGTTCATAGACTTCTCGTAAATGTTGTAGCAATGTGGGCTTCACCTCGTTATGCTTGGTATGTTTGTAAACTTCTTGACGAAATTCACAGACAAGAACGCGAACAGATGGAAAAGAAACTTCAAGCAAAAGATGAAGTCATTGAATCCAAAGACAAAAGCATACAGAAAAGAATACCACGTTCAGTACCAAAAGGAAAGGAAAAGAGTTATAAGTATATGATTTACGCTGAAGAGATGGAAAATGAAGAAGACAGAGATATGGTTATGTTGCATTTAGTCAGAAGAAACAACAAAAGCTTTTATGACCTTGCTAAGATTTACAAATCTGACAGAAACTGGTTCTATCGTGAAAACTTACCGATTTCAATGACACCGAATGAGCAAATAAAGGAAATTGTCAAAAATACTCTTCCTCAAACACACTATGACATCAAAGGTTGCACAATACTTACATTCAAAGAAGACTTACCATTGTTAAAGGAAAAAATAACAGAGTATTTCGATAACTTCAAAGAGGAAGAATGAAAATCTAAGCTAATTTTATTTTTTTTATAAAATTTTATCTCATATGAAAGAACATGAATTTAGAATATTCGGAACTCATGACAGAAGAGGAGAACGAACAGCATGTAAAAGATTATGCAAAATTTATGAAGACATACAAAGCATTTAAACAATATCTAAATGCTTCTAAAGATTATGCAAAATTTCTGAAGGTATATAAAGCTTATGAAAAAGCGTATGAAAAGTTTATACATTGGGGAATTGTTGTAAAATATCCATATGAAGACTAACCAAAAATATATTTTTGCTTAAATAGCTTCAGGGTCAATTTCTTCAACCATTTCACTTCCTTCGTCAATGTCAATTGAAGCTTCTTCAACCTTTGGTAAGAATTTCTGTATAACATCTTTGTTCGTTATTGTCTTCAGAGATGAAGGATAATATTTCACATTTGTTTCACCCTTCTTATATTCTTTCTGTTCGGAAAGATTCATAGCAATACTGAAGAAGTCAATGTTAGAGTTCTTTATGACAGTATAATGAGTATCTTTGACATTCACGAAGAAACTCTTTTGTTTCAAAACTACTGCTAACTCTTGTGAAGTATAACGTTTGCGGTCAATGACGATAGCTAATGGTCTGACATACTGACCAAACTTAGATTCTTTCACAAACTTCTTGTTAAAGATAATATTAACATTTGAAGCATTATTGAACTCATTCTTGATGGCAGTAGCGAGAGCATTGTATGAAAAGAACTTGCAATCTTGCATGTGTTTCATTAAAATAAAAATATTAAATTATTTTGAAAAATAACTTAAAAAAAATCTAATCTAATTTTTTCAAAAATATTTTTTTTATTTCCTACTAAAGATGTATCGGAAGTTGTCTAAGTTAGAACACTCGGAAATAAAACAACTTCTTACAGAAGCTAATATAGATGTTGCAAAGCATTACGCAACAAACAAAAAAGCACTCGCTGACTTCATTAAAGACTATAATGGTGCAATAAGTTATGATAGAATTCATGAGTTCATAAAGCCGCAACGCGGCGAGGACGAAGTCCATGCAATAGCATTTCCTTTAAATGACGTTGCTATTGACTTATATCATAGACGTTCAGTACCTCATGAAGTAAGAAGAGAGATGTTTGACATAACAAATGCGAACGTTGGTCATACTCGTAAAGCTCTTTCGCATGAAGTAAGAAGAGAGATGTTTGACATAACAAATGCGAACGTTGGTGAAACAAGAAGAAGAGACGACACACTGAAACAACAGAGAAGAGAGATGTTTAAGAGCGCTATAGAACAAGTTCGCAAAGCTAACGATGTCATTCGTTCCATTGACGACAAACCAAAAGAAGGTGAGAGATGGTTAAAGAAAGATGAAGAGAATAGGAAGAGAAATGTGAAGTCAGGCAATAGACTCATTGACTTTAACATCGAAGCTTTAGATGAACCAAACAGAGACTACTTACACAAACATTTCGGTAAGGTTTTCATGAGACTCTTAGAGAAAATTAAAATAAACTCACAACAGAGATGGATGGTATGTTATAAACTTGGTGGAAAGTATGAATGTTCTACGTTAAACCTCAATAATATTGGAACATTACTACATCAGCTCTTGAAGGAGAACTTTATATCAGAGATAGAAGCAAATGCCGCAGGTATTGTTGAAATGCACTATGACTTCTTCTTGACAAACATAAAGAATCTTACCGAAATAAAGATGTATGATTTAACAGAATATGAAGGCTTAACGATGTCAGATGTAAAGAAAGGCAAACCAAAAAAGAGACCATATAGAGATGAAAGCACACTGACAAATGACCAGAAAGCCATTTTGGAAGCTCTTAAGCAAACAGGAAACCCAGCACTTATAGAAAGCTTTTGGAAAGATAATGGTGAAAAGAAGTTTTATAAGAAGAGAAGCGGTCAGTTCTGGAAGTATCTTTGCACATTACCTATAAATCTTGAACGCTACCAAATCTTCAATGAACTGAACAAAAGAACTGCAACACTTATGACAGAGGACAATTGTTTCGTTTATGCTTGCATTCAGGCTGGAGTAAATGAAGAAACTATTGACCACATGAGAGAAGTCATTCGTGTTAGAGACTTTCCTCAAAGTAAAGTACAAGAAATTTCTGACGCAACAGGTATATCATTTAATGTTACCATTGGTTATTTCAATGACTCAAGACATAATGAAATAAAGAGATATATACCAAAAGAATGCGAAACTGTTAGAACTATTGACTTACTTCTTGTTGAAGACCACTACATGCTAAATGAAAGATTACCAATGACAACATACTTCATTCGAAACTATAAAGAAATTCTCAAAGCTTGTGGTGGAATGAACATTGAGAAACAGATGAAGATTTATACAAAGAGAGAAGATAAATATGTAGTTCGTTATGATAGAACAACACCGTTATGGGATGTTATGAAAACATTGTGGGAGTGCAAATATTTCGAACCTATTTCTTATGGAGAACTTTTCACATATACTACTGACTTATATAAACAGAACCTTGCACCATTTAAAGATTTGACATATGCTCCAAAGTATTGTGTACAACTGAAGAAGAAAGCAGAGTCAAAAGAAGTAAATAAAGCTAAATGTAAATTCATACCTGAGCACGTTTTCTTTGCTGACTTTGAGTGTAGTACGGATGGCTTTCATAAAGCTTTTAACATCTGTTATGACAGTGAAGATGGTTCAGTTAGTGAAAGCATTTGGGGTCAAAACTGTGCAACAGAATTTTTGGAAAGACTTCCTGACAAGAGTTTAATATATTTCCATAACCTCAGTTATGACATAAACTTCATCTTAAGACACATGACAGAAGTGAAAGGAACTCCCATCATTAAAGGTTCACGAACAATGCAAATAACTGGCTTATATAAAGGACGGGCAATTATTATAAAAGACTCTTACAGTGTTATAAATAAGAAGCTTAAACTATTTCCTGCTATGTTTAACTTACAAACAGGACCGAAAGAAGTATTTCCATATAACTACTACAGCAGTGTTTTGTTAGCAAATGACAACAGAACTGGTGTCATTTCTGAAGCATGTAAGTTTATCCATGATGCAGATACATTTATGAAGAACATAGATTCCATCAAAGGTTGCAGAATAGATGAAAACCACTTCGACTTAGAAAAATATAGCACGTTTTACTGCAAACAAGATGTAAGAATTTTAAGAGAAGGTTTTGTAAAGTTCCGCAATGACTTATTGAAAGAGTTTGATTTAAACGTTTATGACTACGTTAGTATTTGTTCTATTGCTAACAAATTGTTTGAGAACAGAGTATACTTCCCGAATGGAAATCTTTATGACCTCTCAAATAAACCAAGAGAATTTATTTCGAGATGCATTCAAGGTGGAAGATGTATGTTGTCAGATAACATGAAACAAAAGAGCAAAAAGAAACTCATTGCTGACTTCGACACTGTTTCATTATATCCTTCAGCTATAGCAAGACTTTATACTTTAGAAGGTATTCCAAAAGTATTGAAGGATGAGATGTTAAGCACAGAGTATCTCATGAGACATTTATTCGATGATGACCAAAAGGAACCCATTGGTGAAAAGTTTATGTCTGGCTTCTTTGTTCTCATTAAGATAACAGAGATTGGTATACCCAGACACTTTCATTTAATAGTTTGCGACCCTGAACTAAATCCAGAACTTAACGTTCCAAGAAGTTCAAACACTTGCTGTCTCATGTATGTTGACCATATAACATTACAAGACCTCATAAAATATCAAGGTGTCAAATGTGAAGTGTTGCAAGGATACTATTACGATGGAAACAGAGATATGAGAATAAGAGATGAAGTAAAGAAGTTGTTTGAGTTAAGGTTAAAGTATAAGAAAGAAGAAAACCCCTTACAAGAAATTATAAAACTCATTCTGAACAGCATTTATGGCAAAACTATTCTATCTCCTATTGAGTCAAAAATAACCATAGTAAATGACAAAGATGCTATAAGATATGCTATAAGAAATTACAACCATATAGTGAAGTTCGAAGGTTTGGATGGTTCAGATAAAACTATTTTCAAGCTAACGAAAAGCATTTGCAGACACTTTAACTTCTGTCCACTTGGTGTTAATATTCTGTCTATGTCAAAACGTATTATGAATGAAGTATTCTGTACTGCAGAGGACATGGGACTTCAAATCTTTTACCAGGATACCGACAGTATGCACTTATATAATGAAGACATCCCAAAGCTTGCAGCAGAGTTTAAGAAGAGATATGGTCGCGAACTTATAGGAAAGAACCTTGGTCAATTTCATAGCGACTTTGCAGAAATAACACCTGGAAAACAAAGTTTAGCTTATAAAAGTATTTTCTGTGGAAAGAAGACCTACATAGACTTACTCACTAACGATTTAAATGAAGTTGCATTTCACTGCAGAATGAAAGGCGTGAAGCAAGATGTTATTGCTTTAACCGCTAATGAAATGTTTCCTGAAGCTATACAATGCTATTACAATGAAGATAAGAACATTCACATACCTGTTGGAACATATGACAAAGACTCTGAGTTCAGTTTAATGAAACTTTACAAAGCACTTCATGATGGTCAAGAGATTGCATTCGACTTATGTAAGTCATGTCAACCTTGCTTTGCTGAAAAGTTCAACTTCTCAATAACGACTAAAACAAGCTTTATTCGTAAGTTGAAGTTCTGAGGTCATGGGCTTCGCCCTTGCCGCTAGCGGCTTATTTTTGTCAGCAATGAGGTCATGAATGAGGTCATGAATGAGGTCATTCGTGATAAAAATAAAGCTAGCGTAGATTTTACAATACTGCGATGGTAGAGTTTAAGAGTTGTGCTTCAATGTAGAGACAGTCCTTCCCATCTGGAGGCAAGAACACTGGACATTTATGGTCATGAGTGGAGTACATGTCTATCCAAAACTCACGATTGAAGCCAGTTAATTTATAGTATTTAGGGTTAGGAAGTGGTGAAGTTCTTGTATGACCAATGAACTCATTTTCAACGCCTTTGGCTATATTAGAGTAAAGTATTGCTTGCTTTCTATCCCAAATGCCAGGTGTTACAATCTTTGAAAATTCATTTTTCCTCGGAAGCATTGCATCATAATTGAAAACATTCTTGAAATCATCACTTGGTTCGGAGATTTGAAATCTTATACGTAATGGATTTTCTTTCTCTTTAGCGACTTCATTGAATGGTGAGAATACAATGAATTGACAGTCATGAGTTCCATCTTCATTTTCATTAAATTCATAATGAAAGTCTATAAGTTGTGGCTGACTACCTTCTTCTTTCAGTTGTGCAAGAAACTCACGTAAAGGCTGTAAAGTTTGTACTTCAATGTTGAACTTTTTCTCGAACATCTCATTAAATGAAATCATACATTGCAACAATGTTGTATCGTCTTTAAAGTATTTGTATATGTGAATGTTTTGGGCGCTTAAAGACTGTTCGTCATTTTCTATCTCGACTTGAAGTATAAAGTCAACCTTTCTGAAAGCACGTGTTATATACATAGATGTTATGCCAATGTACTTCTCTTCATTTATGTTCACAATCCAGTCTGTTGGAAACTTAAACGTTACTCTGTTCCCCTTTATTTTGACGTCAGGGTTTTCACTACTGAACGCAACAGATAAAGGTATTTGTCTATACATTTAGTTCGGATAAAAATAAACCATTTACTCTTTCTTTGCTTCAGCTTCTTCTCTAGCTTTCTTTGCCAGCAAACGTGGGTTCTTTTGTCTTCCAGCAGCTAATGCAGCAAGTTGTTTTTCACTAAGTTTTCTCTTTGGTCTCTCTGGCTTTTGTTCTTGTTTTTGTTCCTTCAGTTCGGATAAAATTTGCTCACGAATTTCTTTCTTCAATGCTTCAACATCTATGACACCTTGGGTCTTGTCCGTAGGGCTTGTCTGAGTCATTTGATTGCAGATAAAAAAAAAAATTAAAACTTTAACCGATGTAAAATGAGCTTGTCAAAATCAGAGCGAGAGTCTATTATATTAAATGACGCAAGAGGAATACAACATCCTTTCTATTACGTAAGTCAGAGTAAAGATGGTAAAATATACGTAAGAAAAAGAAAGGTACCATTAGCGAATGCAGAGAGCGACAACATTAAGGTGCATGGCAAGGGTGAAGTCCATGAAGTCCATATAAAACCTTCTGTTCAAACTGAGCCACCAAAAGAACAAGAAGAAAAGAAGCCAGATGTACTTTCAATAACGAACCAAGAGCTTATTGCAAAGTTCGTGAATTTCATTGAAAAACAAACCGAGTCAAAGAACCCTGACCCGCCAGTGAAAGAAGTTGAGACAAAAGAGAATGTACAGTTCATTGAAAATGTCAAGAAACAACTTCCACCACGAATGCCAAGAAGAAGAGTGAGAATAATGAAGTAAATAGATATTTTTATCTGAAGTAAATACATGCAGAACGAACAGCTAAACGAATTTACTCCAGCAGAGCATATTCATCAGATTCGCTCATATTTCGATATCATAGACAATGCAGTTCAAATTGGTGACACTAATAGAAAATATTCTGACGCAAAGATTCCATCACAACCTGGAACTGCTAAAGATAACACATGGGTAACATTCAATCTCTCACCTCCTGGTGAAAATATGTTGGACCTTTACAATACATTCATTACGTATAAAATGGAAGGTCAATTTATTGTAGATAAAGAAATTGGTTCAGGTTCCAATAAAACAAACCCACCAGGATTTTGGATTGGTTTCGATGACGCTTTCTATGCAGTTGCTGGATATCAAATCCTTGCAAATGGTCGTATCGTATATTCTCAAGACAACGCAAGAGAAGAAGCATATATAACTTCAAACTCACAAACTACCGAACAAATAAAGAAAGTAGATGTTTTCTCAAAGACTCGACATGAAGATGTATGGAGTCATTCGGGAACATGCAGAACAGGACAAATTGTTAGTGGTCCAATTACAGCAGGAAAATCATTTGATTTTAAGCTTCGTTTAAGAATTCCTGTTAAAGTTTTTACCATTAGAAGCTATAAGATTTATTCCAGCTTTTGCAGGAAACATTCAGCTTAAAGTAAAGTTCAGTAGCGACGCCTTACAATGCACATCTATATCTGTAAATGATATCATTGCTTTCAATCCAACTCTTAAAGTTGCATTTGCTTCAGATTCAAATCCACCGACAAATAAATTTGTTCCATGGAATGAACCATTCACTATGATAACGAAGGCAGTAGAAGCTAGTGGAACAGTTACTATTACAACTGTAACCCAGCAACTATTTCGAACAAAGATGGATTTTAATGAATGTTTCATTCATCCAAAGTCATTCTCTTTAGACCCTAACATTTATACAGAACTTGTAGAACATTATACAAACGAGGCTTTATGTTTTCCTGTTAAAGTTATGGATTGGATTCCTATGGACGGTTCATTCTCAAAGAATACAGATAGTTCAAGTGCAACATTTACAGCAGCTTATACGCCTATTAATGTTAAAAGTATTTGGGCACTATTTAGAAAGAAAGACAACTATTATGTTAATTTTGAGAACCCTAAGTTTAAATATCTTCAGCTTTCCATGGGAGCTTATGGAAATATGCCTGCAGAACCTGAAAAATCATATGGACCTGTATTTTATGAAATGGTTGCGAACGCTTGCAATACAAACAATGATATGATAGGATTTAATGAAGATGTTATGAGGTCATTGGTGGATGATGGTAGTGTGGAACATAAATGGGATAGCTATGACAACACACATTTCTTATGTGGTTTTCCAACAGAAGTGGACTTTTGCTTCCAACAAGGTCAAACATCTACTGCTCCAATAACATACAAATTGTCTGTTAAAGGACCTATTGAACTAGCAACTGAAAACGTACCAAAGCCACTTATTGGATTTATGAGGGATTGTTGCTTTGCAATACAAGTAAGACAGTCAGGCATACCAATAATAAGACTTGACGACTATAACTTAGCAACTGACGACAGTGAGGAATAAAGGATGAACGTTTATTTTTAAAGCTTATAAATGAGTTCTTCATCAAGCTCTCGTGAACCTTCACCATCTGTGAAACAAACTTTACCAAACGATTATGGAGCACCTATTGAATATTTCTTACGAGCTGCACAATGGCAAAGAGCAGTTTCACCAAGGTTAGGTGTTCCACCAGCTCCTGTCAAAAATAGCATTTGGTCAAGTCCTTATATAAGATATGGTCTCCCACTAGGTTTGCTAGCTACAGCAGGAGCAGTAATGATGTTGAAAAGAAATAAAGCAAATGTTATAAATAATACTGAAGTAGCTGAATTTGAACAAACTCCGACACCATCGCCAAAACCAACGTCAAAACCAACGCCTTCACAAACAACACCTTCAATGACTCCTGAACCTATGGAAGTACAAACTCCTGTTCAAAAGTCAACTCCTAAACCGACTCCAACATTTAAACCAGAACCTACTCCTCAAATAAATCGTAAAACTCCTGCGTTTCCTTACTGAAAAAATAACGTTATTTTTATTTTATTTGAACATTTTTATTTGATTGAAATGACGACTAAAGTCACTGAAGCAATGAAACAAAAGTTTTTGGTAGAATACATTAAATCAGGAACTATTCCAGAAGGTTTTTACATTCATACTATGAAGGATGGTAGAGTTCAGTTTAGAAAGATAAAGCAACCATTAGATAAAGAAGGAATTTTGAGAAAGATTAAACTTCATGAGGACAACATTGCTGAACTTAAGAAGAAGTTAGAAGAGTTGGAGAAAGGAAGAGAGTTATAAAGTAATGAATTCAAGTGGGTGAAAAAACAGGTGAGAAAACAGGTGATATCTCACCACTTCACCTAAATTTATTTTTGCGCTATGTTTTCATACGTGTGAGGGTGGTGATATCATTAATTTTTAAGTTTATTTTTATATAAATGACAGAACAAAAATATAACATATCTACTCAACAGGAATGAGACCCTTACTGACTATGTATTCGTTTAATGCTTGATGAAAACAATGGTACATATTATCGTATGGGTATACACAGCGTCTGTTTCCATCGTCGTCGTATATGTAGAACTCAAATCCAGTCCAACCTTCTTTTGTACAATATGTAGCTTTATTTAAGTATGCATTTATGTAGATAAGGCAATTTTCTTCATCGCTCCAGAAATAATTTTTGTTCTTTGTTGAAATAGTTTTCGTTCCTCTGCGACCATAAGGAATGTATGCAATGAACTTTGCGTCATAAGGGATTGTAATATATTCAGGGTTTCTTTCATCGTCAATGGGTCTGTCTTTGTTAAAATGCATGTTTCTCAGTTTTACTTGAGTTTTGAATAGTTCACGGAAACGTTCTGGGAAAGAGTCATAGTAAATGTAGTCGGACATGTCTTTGTAATGAAATAAAAAATTTAAAAAAATAAAAATAAGGTTATTTTTTATTTAGTGAGGACGGTAGTGAAGTCGTTAGTGAGTTCGTTAGTGAAGTCGTTAGTGAAGTCGTTTATGTGTCAGATGGTTTTGTAAATATTTAAGGTTAAGTTGGTGTTACGGTTGTGTTGTAAAATATACGTTACCGGTTTCGTAAAGTATCAAAACCGCTAAGTGGTGTACGGAGGCGCGCAGTGCCACAGTACACGACTTAGGGATACTAACTAACGTAAGTGATCTTTCTTTGGCTCAGAACGAGATTTCTCCATATGGTTCCATAGAATCGAGTTCATTGTTGGAAAATATTCCAGTTCATGATGCAGATATACTCAAATCGATCGATCTAACAGATAAAGATACAATGATCACTAAGTTTATTAATGAAAAAAGAGAAAAAATTATGGCATTATTTAATGAAACATTAAATCATCCAGATTTTAATTCATCCACTCCAATTCAAACTAATTTTGAGCAAGCCGATACAAATCAAGGTTCAGATGCTCCAATTCGCTCCGAAAATTCAAATATTGCAGACTCTACAGATTTAGAACCAGAAAATCAAAACCATCCTTCTACAAATCAAATGTCTAGTAATCTAGAACATAAGCTGGACCTTCTTGATCATATTGAAAAACAATTATCGAAAATGCGCTCGTTATTGGGAATTCTTCCTACTACAAATGCTATTGTTGGGCCGTCAAAACAAGTTTCAGTTAATAGCAAGCAAAATTCTGAAAAAAATAAGAAAAAATCTTCCATAACAACAAAATCAAACAATAAAAAACAAAATTCATCCGACAATCCTCCTAAATGTAAAGCTCCTATTTCGGAAAGGATTCTCAGCGATAATAACTTATATTTTCAAGTTCATCGAAAGAGATCGAAAAGCAAACGTTCCACATCTACAGAGAAAAAGAATTGATATATGAAGTCTAATTCCTTTTATAACTACTATATTTTTATTCTTATGACTAAAAAATAATATATTATTTAACAATTTTCATTTTTTTCTTTTAACAATTTCGTTTTATTTCCATTTATTGTTAAATGATTTTTAGCATACACCTTTCTTTGTTCATCTTCTAAATACAATTTATTTTTTCTTAGATATAATTCTATTCATTCAATTCGATCGTCATTTTTCAGTACATGATCGTAATTTTCAATTATTGATCGCGATTTTACTTCAGAATTTGTTCGCAATATTGCTTATCAAAATTATATCTCTATTCTCTCATTTCTGTTTAGTCAATATCATTACACTCCTATTGTCTAATAACATGCTATTAATTTTCTTAAAATTAAAAAAAATATCAACTTTTAAAAACAGAAACTTAACATCCTTAGGTCAATGGATTTTGATGTGAGATACATTTAATCTGTTTTTCTTTTTTTTATTTTAAATAATTGAATATTTATAGTTGTTATGGGTCTTACATCATGTAAAACGAATTTTCTTAAAGTAAATTTACTTTTTCTTCAATCTTTCTTACATATTTATTAAAAAAAAATTATCCAAAAAAAGATGTTTTAGAATGAAAAAAAATAGAAAAATCTTCATTTATAGTCTTTCTTGAATCTATACGTTTTGATTTTTTTCTTTTTTAAAAAATTCAATTTCTAGAAAAATCGAGAAAAAATCATTTTCTTCTATTTTTTAGGACGCCATACCCATTGAAATCTCCTCTCAGGACGCCATAAACTATTCAATTATGGTGTAAACTTCTCAAAAATTGAATAGTTTACATCAGGGCGCCTTAGGACGCCAAACCTTTACGCGCCCCTTATTATTTATTATAATTTCTTTTGCTTTTCACCCATTACCAATTTAAAAAATCAAATTATTTTAATAATGCATTTGACCCATTACCATATTTTTCTAATATGCCAAATTTTTCGAAATTATTTTTTGAAATAAAATGAAACCATGATTAAGTTTCAATGATCCGATATTCATATGCTAATATTAGCAAACCTGTAAAATCAAATACAGTTAAAGTCTCTGAGAATAAGTACACTTTTGAGTATCCATGTGAAAGTACATTTGATTGTACAGATTATATCATCCATCTTCCTCGTGGCACATACAAATTTGAGTTGTATGGTGCATCCGGAGGAAGTTCTCAAGGTAATGTTTCTTCATATCGATTTCCAACTGATCAATGTATCTTAGATGAAACAGTTCATAATGTTGGAGGCAACACAATCTGTCTTCGAAAACCAAATGTTGGTGGTGCTGGTGCATATATTAGTGGCATCATCACCTTAAACAAAGATATTATTTCATATGCTACTATTGGTGGCAAAGGACAATTTAAATCTAAAATACAACAAAAGGGTAATGATGTTATATACGAAAACGATAAAAACAGTTTGACAGAAAAGTGACAACTTTACGTGTCAAAAATATAAAAAGTGATATTTTATTCATCATTATCTTCTTCATAATTTATTTCATATTCTTCGTCTTACCAACAAAAGATGGGAATGTGAACAATTGCGGGCAATTTTTAGCCATTTTGGCTTGGAACTAGAGCCTGCGAGGTACATGGATAGTATCAGTACCTCACAGGCTCTAGTTCTCTATATGGCGCCGAGAAATTTTGGTGAAATGTGGTCGCATTTCACCAAAATTTTTTCGGCGCCATAGGATGAATTGGAGGGTGAGAGATATTATTTCATACAATACTACTCTCACCCTCCAATTCCCAGCCAAAATGGCTAAAAATTGCCCGCAATGTGAACAATTGCGGGCAATTTTTAGCCATTTTGGCTTGGAACTAGAGCCTGCGAGGTACATGGATAGTATCAGTACCTCACAGGCTCTAGTTCTCTATATGGCGCCGAGAAATTTTGGTGAAATGTGGTCGCATTTCACCAAAATTTTTTCGGCGCCATAGGATGAATTGGAGGGTGAGAGATATTATTTCATACAATACTACTCTCACCCTCCAATTCCCAGCCAAAATGGCTAAAAATTGCCCGCAATGTGAACAATTGCGGGCAATTTTTAGCCATTTTGGCTTGGAACTAGAGCCTGCGAGGTACATGGATAGTATCAGTACCTCACAGGCTCTAGTTCTCTATATGGCGCCGAGAAATTTTGGTGAAATGTGGTCGCATTTCACCAAAATTTTTTCGGCGCCATAGGATGAATTGGAGGGTGAGAGATATTATTTCATACAATACTACTCTCACCCTCCAATTCCCAGCCAAAATGGCTAAAAATTGCCCGCAATGTGAACAATTGCGGGCAATTTTTAGCCATTTTGGCTTGGAACTAGAGCCTGCGAGGTACATGGATAGTATCAGTACCTCACAGGCTCTAGTTCTCTATATGGCGCCGAGAAATTTTGGTGAAATGTGGTCGCATTTCACCAAAATTTTTTCGGCGCCATAGGATGAATTGGAGGGTGAGAGATATTATTTCATACAATACTACTCTCACCCTCCAATTCCCAGCCAAAATGGCTAAAAATTGCCCGCAATGTGAACAATTGCGGGCAATTTTTAGCCATTTTGGCTTGGAACTAGAGCCTGCGAGGTACATGGATAGTATCAGTACCTCACAGGCTCTAGTTCTCTATATGGCGCCGAGAAATTTTGGTGAAATGTGGTCGCATTTCACCAAAATTTTTTCGGCGCCATAGGATGAATTGGAGGGTGAGAGATATTATTTCATACAATACTACTCTCACCCTCCAATTCCCAGCCAAAATGGCTAAAAATTGCCCGCAATGTGAACAATTGCGGGCAATTTTTAGCCATTTTGGCTTGGAACTAGAGCTTGCGAGGTACATGGATAGTATCAGTACCTCACAGGCTCTAGTTCTCTATATGGCGCCGAGAAATTTTGGTGAAATGTGGTCGCATTTCACCAAAATTTTTTCGGCGCCATAGGATGAATTGGAGGGTGAGAGATATTATTTCATACAATACTACTCTCACCCTCAATTTTAATTACTTAAACTCATTCTATTTTTTTGACATGTAAATGTCACTTTTACTGAGATCTGACACAATGTCAGATCTCTTTTTTTCGTATATAAGAATGACGCTTGCTATTTAAAAAATAATATGATTGAGGGTGGATATGGCGGTGGAGGTTATGCATCCAATTATTTTGGTAATGATGAATTTTATGGCTCGGGTTCCGGTGGTGGTCAAACCGCTGTCAAATTTGAAGTGAATGATCTTTGGCACCGAGTTATTGTGAGCGGTGCTGGAGGTGGCTGTGATGATAATTTTGGAACGTTTAACAGTGATAATGACGGATCTGGAGGTGCAGGAGGTATTATTGGTCAAGGATGGTTTTTAAGTGGTGTATATAATTTTAGTTATTTAGCAAATTCTACATCAGGATTCAGTTTTGGTTATGGCGAATCAGCTCAAAAACTTAAATCTTTGAATCCAAAAGGAGTTCAGACCTGTAGCGGTGACAGTGATCGAGCAGGAGCTGGTTCTGGATGGTTTGGTGGTTTTGAAAGCCACAATGGACAAAGTGGTTCAGGAGGAGGAAGTTCATGGGTTTTATCTAAAGATGCTATTATTCCTCAAGGAAAGATTGAAGCATTTGATTCATTCTACCAAAGCATTGGAAAATATGAATATGCATTTACAAATTCAGATTATCTTTTTGATCATATTTTCCATACCTCCGGTGTTTGGGAAGGCAATGGTAAACTTATTATCACTATCCTCAACCACTGTATTTTTAATACAAAATTCCTTTGTTATCGACTCCATATTTTTAATTTATTTTTATTTTCCATTTCAATCTACGAAAGTTAAAAACATTAAGCAATAAATGAATATTATAATAAACAAATTTATTAAGTGACAATATAATAATTCGAAATGTTGCTAACATACTATATATATATAAGTTTTTGGCTTTAGTTGACAATTTCATCTTTATTTGCAGGATTTTATATTATTTCGAATTGTCATGAAACAATAGAAAGAATAATTTTTATTTAATTTTATATAAAGTTGGCATTGAATAAATGAACATACGTAAAAATGGATAAGAAATTGATTCTCCTGGAGAACAATAGCATTTAATTTGATTTTGATTAACAGTCATTTGAGTATTACATTCAAAATTGACAAAAAATGTTAATGTATTTGATTCACTTGATTGTTGATTTTCAATATTTGTTATATTCGCATTTGCAGCTAAATTATCATAGTATGAATGTGATAAAGTTATTTGTCGACTATCAGAATAAAATACCGCTCCTTCGCCAAGATCCCCAAGAAATGAACAATAATCAAAACTTAAATTTCCTGCAGAGTAAATGGTTGCATATAAACCATCTTCTTGATAATTTTTCAAAATATTACAATGGTCCATGGAAAATATAGTATTGTAATTATAGAAAATTTGGCAATGAGTAGTTGCATGATTTTCTTCAAAGTTGGAATAGTTAACCGTATTGATACTTGGAGAGTTTGTCGAAAAACATGCAGATTCTACAGCTAGGTTTTTACTATAATTCATTGACGATATAATCAATTTCCCCTTTAAATGAAAATTGGTTCCTGTTGTGCCAATATTACATGAAAGAGAACCTTCTAAATCATAGTTTAGATTCGTTTGTGAATCTTTAATCAAATCTATGCATGAATGACTTCCAGCATTGGTCGAAGAACATGAAGAAGTGCAGTATCGATGCTGCACAATTGAACATTCTCCTTGAACATAAATTGCCCCACCTTGGGAACATCTGCATCGTGTGAATGTACATTCAGAATGGACAACTTTCAAATTATGTGTTGAAATATATAAAGGTGACCATAAGTTATAGAAAATGCATTTATATATGTAGAATCCACCCTTGTAAAAATCAATTGATGGATTAATTTGTTCAGTGCAATATTCCTTATTAGGAGAATCATTAAAAAATAATTCCCACAGACTTTCAGGAGCACCATCATTATGATAGATTAAGGGTTTCGTTTTGCTAAAATTGTCACTTTTATAGCATATTTGTTTTTGGATGTTTTGCGAAACCAAAAAAAAAAACTATGATATACAATGTGTGTGTAAAGAAAATACTTTATTTACTAGTTAAAAAATCATTTGGTATTGATCAAGTTATTTTTTCTGGATAAGATATTATATGGATAATTGGATAGAAAATACAATTATATAATCTTGTACCTGGTTTAATTAAGCTAATTGTCATCAGAAACTTGTAATTTTTATGAATTTCAGATTTTCTTTTCATTACTGCTTTTCTTAATAGGTCAAGTTCTTATTTACGTTATAAAGTATGATATTTACAAATATCAAGTTATCATGTTTTTTGAGAAATTATGAGAAACAAACAAAAATGAAAAAGATAGGAATAGCAATGAATAGTGATGTGGGTATAGAAAATGTAAGAGATATAAATGCAAAGCAATCAGTATTTAGGACATTGACCATAGATTTCGAAAAAAAAATGCTGCATATTGAGCGAAAACTATGATTATATTATAAGGCAAAAAACCTAGACATGCAATATTACAATAATCATATTAATTTCAAATCAAAACTTTTTTTTTCATAATATGCTATCAAATGAAAAGATAAACAATTTGCATAATGTGTTCATTTTATAATCTTATTTCCTCATTGTCTAAAGAAAGAAAAAGTATTATTTGTTTAAATCACATTATAAATTTAAGGTAATGGTGCATCGGGAGGAAGTTCTCAAGGTAATGTTTCTTCATATCGATTTCCAACTGATCAATGTATCTTAGATGAAACAGTTCATAATGTTGGAGGCAACACTATCTGTCTTCGAAAACCAAATGTTGGTGGTGCTGGTGCATATATTAGTGGCATCATCACCTTAAACAAAGATATTATTTCATATGCCACTATTGGTGGCAAAGGTCAATTTAAATATAAAATCCAACAAAGTAATAATGATGATTGCTATTTAAAAAATAATATGATTGAAGGTGGATATGGTGGTGGAGGTTATTCCTCTAATTTTTTTTATTCCGATTCTGATTTTGGATCTGGTTCCGGAGGCGGTCAAACCGCCGTCAAATTTGATGTGAATGATCTTTGGCACCGAGTTATTGTGAGTGGTACTGGAGGTGGCAGTGATGATAAAGATGGAACATATGGCGATTTTAATGATGGATCAGGCGGTGCAGGAGGTATTATTGGTCAAGGATGGTTTTCAAGTGGTATATATAATTTTAATTATACGGCAAATTCTACATCAGGATTCAGTTTTGGTTATGGCGAATCAGTCCAAAAATATAAATCTTTGAATCCAAAAGGAGTTCAATCATATTATGGTGGTTCAGATCGTGCCGGTGCCGGCTCTGGATGGTTTGGTGGCTTTGCAAGTCATGATAGTAATGCAGGTTCAGGAGGAGGAAGTTCATGGGTTTTATCTAAAGATGCTATTATTCCTCAAGGAAAGATTGAAGCATTTGATTCATTCTACCAAAGCATTGGAAAATATGAGTATGCATTTACAAAATCAGATTATCTTTTTGATCATATTTTCCGTACCTCCGGTGTTTGGGAAGGCAATGGTAAACTTATTATCACTATCCTCAACCACTGTATTTTTAATACAAAATTCCTTTGTTATCGACTTCATGCTATTGATTATTTCCTAATATTTCTTTTAGTGAACGATAGTTAAAAATATTAAATTTTAAAATTCTATTTTCCCCAACTTTTGAATCTGCAGGTAATCCCAACAGTTAGAAATTGCTTTGAACAAAGTTAACTAGGAATTTGGTGAGATGGCGAGTTTTCGGCGAACAAATTAGTAATGAAGATTTGCACTTTTTTAAACATATTTTATCATACATTCAAACGGTAGTAACGCTATAGTAAACGTATTATTACTACCATCAGCCATTTACATTTTGTAAAATTTTAAAAAAACATAAGTATATTTTAATAAACTATTATACTATTTCAAATATAATAAACAAAAAGTTAATTGAAAAATTCATAAAATAACAATAGTTGATACTTACTTTTGGAAGCGGATTGAAATGAATAATGGAAGGATCAGAATCATGTGATGAAAGACTTAATTCTAAAGACGGCAAATTTTTATTTTGAATATTAACATATTCTAATACTTCCATTCTATAAAATTGAAAACCAATTCTTTTAACATTCGGATGAATTAAAATAAATTTTACCATAGAACTACCACATAATGCACTATCTGCAATGAATTCAACAAAATTTGGAATGATTAAATATGTTTCTCCATGATTACCTGGATAAACAATCAAAGTTTTCAAATTTGATGAATAGACAATACCATCAACATCAGTAAAATATGGATTTTCTTTATCAACATAAATAGCTTTCATATATTTACCATTGTCAAAAGGATTATCTATTAATTTTGTTACACTTTTTGGAATTGTAAAATACTCAACTTGAGTCCCCGTAAGTAACCCATCATCAAATATTTGGACTTTATCATCAAAGTAACATTTATTAACTGCGAATATGATTGGAAAGGACTAATTGTTGTTGATGTAAAACCCTTTAGATATAATTTTTTTGCATTTTGGTTCTGGGTTAGAACAGGAAGTTCGCCCGAACCTATTACTGTATAACAATCTTCCTCGCCACAATTTTCAAATCTCGGATTAGAAATTTTTCAGAAAAATTAAATTTTCCTATTTTGGAATAAAAAAGTGACAAAATATTTTATGATTCTGTAACAAAAAAATATTTATTCTAATTTGAAATTGAGGGCATATTAAATTTGGTTGAATGTGTTTATACGATCTGAAAAATTAAATATTCTCCAAACAAAAACATTTCAGTATAAATACAAAGGTAATAGTTATCACGAATCTAATGCATATCACATTGAATTAACTAGAGGATACTATTCGTTCGAATTATGGGGATGTTCATCTACAGTGAACAATCCTCCATCAAATGGTGCCTATGTTAAAGGATATATATTTCTAACTTCGACCAAAGAATTTTATCTCCATGTTTGTCATAAAGGAGAACATGGAATGTTAAATTATTCATATGGTGGTGGAGGACCTGGCCAATTTGGTGGTGGTGGAGCTACTGATATCAGACTTCTTCCAGGAGAATACGATAACTTTACATCATTGAAAAGTCGAATTATCGTTGCAGCTGGTGCTGGGGCTACTGATTCAAACGATCTAGGAGGTCCCGGAGGAACTATTGAAGGATTTAATAGCCATGGGAATTACGGAAAAGGTGGAACCCAAATATCTGGAGGACAAGGTGATAGTAGCGGCAAATTTGGAAAAGGAGGTGGAAATCCTAATCGGATTGATGCTTCAGGAAATGCTGGAGGAGGCTCAGGATATTTTGGAGGAGGCACATCTACTATTGCTAATGATTATGGCGGTGGTGGGGGTAGTAGTTTCATCAGTGGTTATCCAGGGTGTATCGCCATAGCCGAAGATTCAACAGAAAATTCAATAAAATTTCGAACTGGTGATTTCGCATCAATTCATTATTCAGGCCTTAAATTTGAAGAACCATTAATGATCAATGGCAAATCTGAGATGCCTTCACCAAATGGAACTATAGAAATTGGGCATTTTGGAAATGGTTTTATCATGATTAAAAAATTTTATTCAAATACTTTTTCTTGTTTTCATAATATTTACAGATTTTCACTCTTTTCATTAATTCTAGGATTTTCAACTGATTCATAAAATCAAAGTCAAGTTATGAAAATATTGTCAATAAAAATATAGACAATTCAGATGTAACAATAAACTTTGTTATATATAAAAAATATTCACAAGGGCAAAACCACCACAAAAACGATTATTTTGCATTCAATCCGCGTAATGTAGTCAAGAATGAATGTATTGAAACAATAATTATGCCAAAAACACATAGATATCACAAAAAAGTGGTTTGCACAATCAAGTATAAATATGAGAATTTTTATTCATAAATTTAAAAGATTGATAAAGTATCAGAGAAGATTTTATTGAGCTGATTTATTTGTTGCTGCATTTCGCTCTGTGAAAGTTTTGAGTATTTCTCGTAGAAAGGTGTGTAAAACATGCATTCGATTGGATATTCGAACATCGAATCATCTTCACATCCTGTGAATGAACAAACAACATCTCTTGTTTCATTCATATCGATATTTATTCCATAAATGAAGAACCAGTACTTTCTCATCCATTCCGATCTTTGAACAATGCGATGACAGTAACAAAAAGAAAATCTTGGCAATGAGAAGATTCTTTCGATTTCGAAATATTTTTTGTTTTCAACAAATCTCTTGTATCCAATTTTCACAATCTTCGAGTGAATATTTACACATGATTTCTCTTTTTCTTTCTTCATTTCGTTCAGTTTCAACTTAGAGAATGATTTATTTTCGACAATCTTTCTTGAGTTTATTTCTACGTTCATTGAGAAATCAGCGAATGAGACATCATTGATATCATCAAATTTAACTAAGTATCTTCTTTCGAAATACACATATATCCAATTGTTTTCTTCGAGATTCCTCTCTATCAAGTTTTCTATTGCATTTCTTGTTGAAATATCGTCAAATGAGAACTCTATATTTTCTATTTTGTATTGAATATTCATTTTCAAGTCATCAACAATGAATTTCATTGCATCTTGTAAAATATCATTTTCAAACGATTTACAGAACATCGTGACAATGAAAATGTTTTGAGAATAATAAGTTGGAACTAGAGATACTAAGAAATTTTTGTTTTTTGAGTACAAATATCTTGACAAAACTTTTGGGAAGTATAAATACTGCAAATTTGGTTTTTGATTTATCTCTGTACTCTCGAGATGATTCAACTCTACTGAGAATCTCTTTCCTTTCATGAAGTGCTTCAATGAAATTTCTTTCTTGTATTGGAACTCCATATTTTGTTTTTACTCTGAATTTCCTCCATTCATTGCATCAAAAACCGTTTTAATCCACCCATCATATTTGCATTCTTCTTTTAGATAAATAAAATCAGGATGATATATTATTAAAATATATTAAGTTTTGTGTAACATTTTTCTTGAAGTTCTTCTGATCTTTTCTCATTATCGAATCTGTCAAGTTAGTTTTATGGATGGAACAAAGAATTTAATAGAATCTTAACCTTTTAAAATATGTAACATTAATTAAGCAAATGTTTTCTTTGACAAAAGTTCATATTAATTTCAAATCAAAACTTTTTTTTGATATATCAATTTTCAAAACGAGAAGATAAACAATTTGCATAATTTGTTCATTTTATAATCTTATTGCCTCAATGTCTAAAGAAATTAAAAGTCGATTTTCTTTAATTCAAAATACATATTTAAAATGCTATGATCCGATATTCATATGCTAATATTAGCAAACCTGTAAAATCAAATACAGTTAAAGTCTCTGAGAATAAGTACACTTTTGAGTATCCATGTGAAAGTACATTTGATTGTACAGATTATATCATCCATCTTCCTCGTGGCACATACAAATTTGAGTTGTATGGTGCATCCGGAGGAAGTTCTCAAGGTAATGTTTCTTCATATCGATTTCCAACTGATCAATGTATCTTAGATGAAACAGTTCATAATGTTGGAGGCAACACTATCTGTCTTCGAAAACCAAATGTTGGTGGTGCTGGTGCATATATTAGTGGCATCATCACCTTAAACAAAGATATTATTTCATATGCCACTATTGGTGGCAAAGGTCAATTTAAATATAAAATCCGAAAAAGGCATGAAGATGATTGTTATTTGAAAAATAATATGATTGAAGGTGGATATGGTGGTGGAGGTTATGCCTCTAATTATTTTTATTCCGATTCTGATTTTGGATCTGGTTCCGGAGGCGGTCAAACCGCCGTCAAATTTGATGTGAATGATCTTTGGCACCGAGTTATTGTGAGCGGTGCTGGCGGCGGATGCGATGATAATAATGGAATTTATAACAGTGAAAATGATGGTGCAGGCGGTGCAGGAGGTGTTGTTGGCCAAGGATGGTTTTTCATGAATAAATATATATTTGCCCGCGTTATTTTTAATATTGAATTTGAAATAAATTTTGTCAAAAAATATTGAGTTTATTTATTATTTATAAGCCAGAAAAAGTATCAACCAACCCTTAAATGTACTCATTTTTAAGTGTTGCCTTTCCACTCAAAATGTGACTAATGTTAGATTATTTTTAGCTCATTCAGTTTTTGATTTTGATTGCAATTGTAATGGTTTAATACAACTCGTGTTTAAAACGCATTTGTAGATGGAACCAATAAATTTTTCAAAACTTTCAAATAGTGAATGCAATATTATATCATATAAAAGCTCAATGTAACAATTCAAAAAGGAAAATTTCATCATTTTTAAGAGTATGAGATATAAATATGTCATTATTTTAGAACTGTAAAGCTAAAAGAATCAATAGAGAGTGCATATATAGCAAATGATTATGGTTACAAAATGACCGTGGCCAAAAATTATCGAATTTGTGATTTTCAATATTAGTAGAATCGATTTCATAACAAAATTCTTTTGACAGTCTTGGAAAAGACAGGGTATATGATTTGTATATAGGATTATTGATTGTTCCTGTAATTGTACGTTGAAAATCAAAATAACAAGAATTGCATGTGACATTGTTACCAAAATAATTTGAGTTTTTGAGTACATTACCTTGAAAACTGCAGTCATTAGCAATAACACTGGAATTTCCTTCTTCCCAGATAACAAAATTTCCAGAATTTTTCACGAGATTACAACTTTCAAATCTGTAATTTATTATCTCAAAATTCAGAATATAAACTACACTATATCCGATATCATTCTGAGTATTATTATAAAATGTGCTCAATTGAATTAAAGAATTCTTTGATTGATTTTCAAATCTAGAAATACCGTAATGATGATTAAAAGTATTCGAAATATTTATAGAATCAAATTTTATTTCTCCTTTTTGACAATACAAAGTTCCTACACCTTGACCATCTCCATTGTTATCAAATGAAGATTCTAATATAAAATTTCGACTTGGTTCTGAAACATCGATGAAACAACAAACTCCCAAAGATAATTCTTCACCAAGTTTTGATCTAAAATAGCATATTTTGTTTTGGATACACTCACCTTCAGAAGAAAAGCTGAGTGTTCCTCCATTATTTGTATTAGAACAAGAAGATAAAATCGATTCTTCTAATAGAAGCTTTGTTGCAACCTTTGCAGAAGAAATATTTATTGCAGAATTGATTAATTCTATGAATGTGCTCTGTAATATGTAAAAACTTATATTCTGGGTGCATATTCGAAGATTTTTCCCTCTTATTACATGATAATAGATAAATACATTTAAGTTATTTATTTCAAATCTTCTGAAAAATTCGATATTTATTCACAAAAACATTTAATTTTGATTACCATGGAAGCAATTACTACGAATCAAATCCTTATCGAATTGAGTTAAGTAGCGGATTTTATTCGTTTGAATTATGGGGATGCTCTTCTGCATTCACTTCATCAAATGGTGCATATGTAAAAGGATATATTAGGCTTTCTTCAACTCGAGAATTTTATCTCCATGTTTGTCATCAAGGTGAGTATCATATGTCACAGTATTCATATGGTGGTGGAGGTCCTGGACAATATGGTGGAGGAGGTGCCACTGATATAAGACTTCTTTCAGGCAATTACGATAACTTTACATCATTGAAAAGTCGTATTATTGTTGCGGCTGGTGCAGGAGCTCAAGATTCTAATGATTTAGGTGGTCCAGGAGGATCTCTTGATGGATTCAATAGTACTAAAAACTATGGAAAAGGTGGAAGTCAAAAATCAGGTGGACAAGGTACTGTTAGCGGAAAATTCGGTAAAGGAGGGGAAAATCCGAACAGAATAGGCGATGAAGGGAATGGCGCAGGAGGTTCAGGTTATTTTGGTGGAGGATCGTCAACTAATGCCAAAGATTATGGTGGTGGTGGAGGAAGTAGTTTCATCAGTGGATATCCAGGATGTGTTGCGATAACAGAAGATTCTACAGAAAATTCGATCAAATTTCGAACAGGTGATTTCACATCAATTCACTATTCAGGATTAAAATTCGAAGATCCTATTATGATTGATGGAAAAAGTCAAATGCCATCACCAAATGGTACTAATGAAACAGGTCATTCTGGCAATGGATTTATACGAATTATTAAATATCCTATTCTTTCTAACACATGTATTCAGAATATTTACCACTTTAATTTATTTTCATTTATTCTAGAATTTTCAATCTTTTTCATGTCCGCTGATTCATAACATCATAAATGATTGTTTTTTATCCAAAATTGAACAAGTAACAACATTTGGCAACTGGATAGATGCTAAAATTCTCTCTTACCAAAACTGTTCCCATATTTGAAGAATCAAAAAGAAAAATATGTGTACACATATATTGAATTTGGTTTCTTTGAATCAATCAAGAGATTCCTACGTTAAGAGATAAATAGCGCTCGTTTCTCCATTTTTGAAGTAGTGACATTTAAGTTTTACTAAGCAACAAAATCATAAAACTTTGTTTGACTTCGAAACTTCCCATTAACCTCAATTAACCATCTAACACATTAATTTCTGTAGATTATCTGAACTATTCAAAGCCAACGAAAAGAATATATGAATTTGAATACATGGGTAGTAACTACTATGAATCAAAACCATATCATATCGAATTACCTGAAGGATATTACTTATTTGAATTATGGGGATGCTCATCTGCATTCTATCCTCAAGATCCAGTAACTTATCCTTCAACTAATGGAGCGTATGCTCAAGGTCATATATTACTGCATTCAAATTTTGAATTTTATCTTCATGTTTGTCATAAAGGAGAATTTCAAATGCTTAATTATTCGTATGGTGGTGGAGGTCCAGGACAACTTGGTGGAGGAGGTGCCACTGATATCAGACTTCTTCCAGGTAATTACGATAACTATACATCATTAAAAAGTCGCATTATCGTTGCCGCTGGTGCAGGTGCTTCAGACACCAGTGATGTCGGAGGTCCAGGTGGAACAATTGAAGGATTCAATAGTAAAAGAGATTATGGTAAAGGTGGAACTCAAACATCTGGAGGTCAAGGAAATATAGATGGATCTTTTGGAAAAGGAGGAGGAAATCCAAATAGAATTGATGTATTAGGAAATGGATCTGGAGGTTCATGATATTTTGGTGGAGGATCATCAACAATAATCAATGATTATGGTGGTGGTGGAGGAAGTAGTTTCATCAGTGGTTATCCAGGATGTGTTGCGATAACAGAAGATTCAACAGAGAATTCGATCAAATTTCGAACAGGTGAATTCACATCAATTCACTATTCAGGATTAAAATTCGAAGATCCTATTATGATCAATGGCAAATCTGAGATGCCTTCACCCAATAGATCAATAGAAATTGGACATTTTGGTAATGGATTTATAAGGATAACTTTATTATCTGTATATGCTTATTCATGTATTCATGTTTCTAAGTTATCATTAATTTTTGAATCTTCAATTTTTATATTTTCAAAATGATGATTGTAATGTTTAAAATGATACAGCAAATGTTGTTTATTTTTTATATTCTTTCGTTATACGATGACAGCAATTCTATTATACTTTTTGATCACTTCACTTTATTAATAAATCCATTTAGATTATCTTTATATGCTTATCTATTTTGATATTTATATATAATACTAGAATTTTCAATCTTCATAGTAAATAATGAAGGATATTTCTAAAATGCTTATTATCCTTCTTTCTGTTGAATCATTTAGTTGAAAGTTCAAATTTGAGAAGCCAAATTAAAATCCTTAAAAGGAAATTATAAAATTTGCAAGATTTACTTTGAACTAATAGCTTAAATCTTTAATTTTCCATACAACAAAACTTTCAACGAATTAATTTTTTCAGTTTTACTGAACAATTCAAAACCAGCCAAAAAACATTTAATTTTGAATTCAAAGGTAACAACTACTACGAATCAAATCCTTATCCTATTGAATTAATTAAAGGATATTATTCTTTTGAATTATGGGGATGTTCATCTGCATCCCATCCTCAAGATCAAGTGAATAACCCATCATCAAATGGATCATATGCGAAAGGCTATATTTTTCTAGAATCATCAAGAGAATTTTATCTTCATGTTTGTCACAAAGGAGAATATGGTATGTCAAATTATTCATATGGTGGTGGAGGTCCAGGACAACTTGGTGGAGGAGGTGCCACTGATATCAGACTTCTTCCAGGTAATTACGATAACTATACATCATTAAAAAGTCGCATTATCGTTGCCGCTGGTGCAGGTGCTTCAGACACCAGTGATGTCGGAGGTCCAGGTGGAACAATTGAAGGATTCAATAGTAAAAGAGATTATGGTAAAGGTGGAACTCAAACATCTGGAGGTCAAGGAAATATAGATGGATCTTTTGGAAAAGGAGGGGAAAATCCGAATCGTATAGATGGCACTGGTAATGGTGCTGGCGGTTCAGGATATTTTGGTGGTGGCTCATTGACTAATGCTAATGATTGTGGCGGTGGTGGAGGAAGTAGCTTTATAAGTGGTTATCCAGGATGTGTTGCCATAACTGGGGACTCAACAGAGAATTTAATAAAATTTCGAACCGGCTATTTCAAATCAATTCATTACTCAGGACTGAAATTCGAAGATCCAATTATGATAAACGGAAAATCTGAGATGCCATCACCAAATGGTTCCATTGAAACAGGTCATTCTGGCAATGGATATATTCGAATAACCTCCTTTTCATTGTGTGTTAATTCAAGTATTCAAAACATTTATCATTTTTATTTATTATTTTTATTAATTTTTGAATCATCAATTTTCATATTATGTAATTAGAATATATAATTATGTATGGTCTTTGCCATATAAATTTTAGACTTTACCGATAGCCTTCGTTTGGCCGGACGAGTAGGGGTAATTTTAGCTAAAAGTGACACGCCCGTGAAGTGTGTGATTACCGATCGGTAATTTCGACAGTTTAGAATTTAAAATTTTTTATGGAACTGTTGCGAGTTTCATAAAGAATTTAAGGAATATAAAAAAAAAAAAAAAAAAAAAAAAAAGGTAGTGGGGCTTCCAGGCACTTCGTGCCTTCTAGCCCTGAAGATGTTTAGTATAAATGAAGTCTTAGAGGACAAACATGACTATGAGTTTTGATATGACAAGATAGAATATGAGAGAGGTCCTATAAACCGGAGAAAGTGTTATATAAACATCTGTCATATTACTCAGAATATTATACAGAATTCAATAAAAATATATTTTAGGTGAAGAGGTGAGATTTCACCTGTTTTTTCACCTCATTTTTCACCTCTTGAATTTTCATGAATTTCATCGTAAAGACTTTGTCAAGATTTCATCGTAAAGACTTTGTCAAAACTTCATCGTAAAGACTTTGTCAAGACTTCTTCGTAAAGACTTTGTTAAGACTTCTTCGTAAAATCAGACAAAAATAATGTTTAGGTGAAGAGGTGAGATTTCACCTGTTTTTTCACCTCATTTCTCACCTCTTGAATTTTCATGAAATTTACACCAAAAATATATTTTAGGTGAAGAGGTGAGATTTCACCTGTTTTTTCACCTAATTTTTCACCCTCTTGAATTTTCATGAAATTTACACCAAAAATATATTTTAGGTGAAGAGGTGAGATTTCACCTGTTTTTTCACCTAATTTTTCACCCTCTTGAATTTTCATGAAATTTACACCAAAAATATACTACTAGGGTCATTTACGAAGAAATCTCAACAAAGTCTTTACGAAGAAATCTTGAACAAGTCTTTACGAAGAAATCTCAACAAAGTCTTTACGAAGAAATCTCAAAAAACATAGACAAAGAGTTCATGAGAAATTAGATGAAGAAGTCTTAACAAAGTCTTTACGAAGAAATTCATGAAAATTCAAGAGGTGAAAAAAAGAGGTGGAAAAAAGAGGTGAAATCTCACCTCTTCACCTAAAATATATTTTTGGTCATTTACGAAAAGAAGTCTTAACAAAGTCTTTACGAAGAAGTCTTAACAAAGTCTTTACGAAGAAGTCTTATAACAAAGTCTTTACGAAGAAGTCTCAATAAAATCTGTCAAAAGCCGCTTTTTAACTTCACTTAAAATGCCACGTAAGCTACGTAAGAATATACGTAAGAGGAAGAGAGCATTGAAACATCCAATAGTAAAACTAACACAACAACAGTTGCAACAACAAATGCTGAATGACCCCACTATGTTGCAACAAATGTCAAGCAATCCTATGCTTTTAAACCGAGTTGTTGGTGCACAGAGTGGAGGTTTAAGAGCGGCACTTTTAGCGAAAATGGCAGGCTATGGTGGAGCTGCAGACGGAAACTATAACCCTCAAAGTCAAATGAATTTGAGTTCACTCAAAAATCAAATAACAGATGTCAAAAAGTCAAACATAGACATACAGAAGCAAATAAGTGAAAACGAAAAGAAACTAGAATATGACAGACACACAAAGAAACTAATGAGTTAAACGTAGAGAAAAAGAAGAAAGAAGAACAACTGAAAGAACTAAGTACAGAGGAATATGCGAAAAAAGTGTCAGAAAAAGCAGCAGAAGTAGCAAAAATGGAACAAGATGTTAAATTTTGAAAAACCATACTACTCAATATAAAGTACTGAAAGATGAAGAGATAAAACAAAAAGCCCTGAAGACATATAATGGATAGCGATGAGTATAAAAAAAAGTTGAAGCAAATGTAAAGGCAAAAAACTTTTACAGTTGCAAAACCAAACCGTACAGTATGAAAACTTAGCACAAGAAAGTAAAAATAACGACGCGCCATGCAAAAGGCAATGAAAAGCGCGAATATATAAAAGCTAACAATGACTGGTTAGATGCCCAAGCCAACGCTAAAGCAGCCCAGCTTATAGGGTCAATAAGGACAAAAATACAAGCGGATGAAGACAGTTCAAATGAAGCTTTAACAAATGCTGACTTTAAGAACGCTTCGAAGCTCTTCATAGTAAGGTGAAACAAGTGAACGACTTCTCATCTGGAAAGAAACTGAAGTCTGAAGGTTTCGACAAAGAGTTAAAAGAAGTAGCACAAAATATGACGAAAATAACAGATGCAGCAACGAGACAGGCAGTTCAAAGTGCCTATGACGCCGTTAGAGCAACTGTTGTGAAAAGTCAAGAAAAAGAGTTACAACAGACCAAAACAGACCTAGTAAATGCTTTCTTAAAAACGAAAAGTCAGGTAGGACATTACGCTGCAGATGGAACATATGTGCCAGCTGGTGGAACTTATATACCACCAAACCCTCCAAGAGAAGCACCTGCACCAGGACTACCTAAAACATTTACATCGTCACATGGACACAGACACAGGCATGCACCAAAACCAACATTAAAATCCAGCACAACAACCAACACAAAACCAGCACAACAACCAACAGTTCAAAACCCTGCACAACAACAACCACAAACAGAGCAAGGACATAAAAGAAGTAGAGAACAAGGAAACCAAGAATTCTTAAAAATGCTTAAAGAAGAGTGTGGTTTCCCAGATACTGTTGACTTTAGTGACAGATATAAAGAAGCTATTGAAAGTTCAAGGATGGAAATACTGACCCGAACCTATTTAGCTTTATGGCTCAGCACCAAAACGGATATAATCTCAAACCTGGAAAATACAAGCTCGCTAAGGATATGATTTAATAGCATATCATCCAAATGACATGGATGAATTTACTCCGAGATATTTGATGTCAGAGCTAAATGACAATTCAACTTTCGTCATGAAACGCGTAAAAAATAGAGACGGAACGAAAGAACAAAAGCTTATGAATGCGGATGACGTAGATAGGGAAATTGTTGAAAACGGTCTCGGAATATATGAAATGCCAGCAGATGAGGTACAAGAAACTCCACAGGAAGAAGTTCAGATACAACCAGACATGGAAGAAATAGTTCAGCAACAACAGCTAGAAGAGCCTGAAGGAAACGAACAAGTCACTCCTTTGGAAACTAACTTCACAGAACTAGATGAAGATTTGGAACAGCCGAAAAATCTTGACCCTCAACAAGAGTATGCGGAGAATATGGAATATTTCCAAGAGTCTAAAAAAAAATTCGGCTGACATAGTAGAAGAATATCGAAAAATGTTTGCCGACATACAAAAGACTCCAACACCAGATGAAAATATTCAGCATAGAATGGAAGAACTGAAAAAAAATGTACACAAATACAACAACCCTTTTTACTTACGAGCATTTAACGTTCAATCTTCGGATGAACTCGGTGAAAATAAAAGGTTAAATTTCAAGAAAACATATAGAAATGAAACATTGTTTAAAGTTCATTCAGAACCTAACCAAGATGGAAACAAACCTACTTTTGTTTCTGCAGACGATGGAACTACAATGAGATGGGGTCATAAAGCTAACCCGGATAGGTGGTTCATAAACTTACAACCACAATTCCAAGAAGTTGTAGACGCAATGGAAGTGAATGGTGAACCAGATATAGCTGGTATTTTAAGCGCGGCTTTAATGCCATTGAAAGATATGAAAACATGCAGATATTTTGGACCAGTATGAAATGAACATGGCTGATGGAAATATAACACCTGACGTTCTAGAACATTTATCTCAAAGAACTACACAGAACCATAAAGATGGTATATTTGGTGAAGAGTTTAGAAAGAAAGTTAGGGAGATAGAAAGGAAGAGAACCTATTGTACATGACCTTGCAAACGAAAGTTTGCAAAATGTCATAAAACTTACTTTGCAGACAATGAACCGAGAAGGGATGAATATTAAGAAAACTCAAATGGACAGTACCAAATGAAATGTTAGTATTGAAAAACATGTTCCTTGACAAAATAAAACCAACTACAGAAATAAACGACGCAAGACTGAAAGATTGGGTAGAAGCTTTCCCATTCACAAAAGATATAGTTGGTAACATGGAAAGAAAACCAGAATGGCTACAAAAACATATATTTGGAAACGAGCTTATTCCATATGGACAGGCACTGTTTGAAGAGCTTGAACCGGAAACTCAGGAAAGAGTCATGCAAACAATAAGCGACGACTCAAATACAAACTATGACAAACTCTTTCTAGGATATAGGTTACCTGAGATGGGCGACCAGAGCCAAAAGGCAAAAAGGACATGGAAAATTTGCAACATACTAGATGAACATAATGCAAAGATGCAACAACTTCAAGCAGAGGGCAATGAAGGAAAAAGAAGAGTTAAAAACTCAGTCAGGAAGAAAGTAAAGCTTGGTCCACGTGGGTTCTATTATGACATATAAATCCAACTATTCTATATTTTACTCATATGAAATGTACGCCGCTCAGAATATAACGCCAACAGTTTTGGATGCTATGAATGGAAATGTTTCCGAATGGTATAACGAATGCGACAATGCCATTAGAAGGTCAGAAATAGTTCCTGGAACTTACGAATATACAACTGCTGTTTCTTATGGAAACGTAGGTGAGTTTGGAGAAGGTTCTTCAACAACAGTAGATATTGCTTGCGACAGGTTTCATATAATTTCTATTGACAACTCTTTCTTATACGTGGAACAAGACATTGAAATAAAACCTTCTGCCAAGTTGTCTGACAAGAAAGGTTGCAATGGAATTTTCTATGTCGGATACCAATATGCTCCAGAAGTTTTCATGGGATATAAGATATATTCTAACTCTGACTTAGTTCAAACAGTAACATGGGCAAACTATGAATGGTTCGCTTTGAGAAACTCAGTACAACCACAAGCTAGAGAACAAACAGACCAGTATGCAACTATTGAGAAAATAAGAAGACTTGACCCTAACGTTCCAGGAGTTTATGTTGACCTTTCTGGACAAACTGCAGCAGCAGTAACCAAAGTAAAACTGAAACTTAGAGTTCCTTTGTCATCTTTCCTCATCTTCAGGTTTTTAAGATACTTGCCAAACTGGGCAGGAAAAATTTCTATCGAACTTACTCCAAGCAAAAATAACTTAGTCATTGCACCAACACAAGACCCATTCACTCTTACAGAAGTAGTGGGAACAAATAAAATGTCATTCGCCGACTTTTGCAAAAACAAAGTTGACTTAGACTTTGGTTTCTCAAACCTCAACACTGAAGTAAACTATTATTTCAATGCTGCTGGAGATGCTTGGGACCCAGTTAAGTTTACATGCGAAAAGTTTGAATGCAAGAGAATAGAAAGCAGACTTGCAGTCTATATGTTGGACCCAGATATTTCAAATGCTTTAGCTGCCAAATATATTGCAGTTCCACTTATGTTCCCTATACACCAAATATCTGTCAAAGACTTTGCAGGTGAAGTTGGAAACCAAAGTGCTGACCCAGGTGCAAGAACAGATATTGCTTTAACAACTGCAATGAAACATGCAGATACTATGTTTGTACTGTTCAGACGAACTATAAATGACTATTCTTGCTTCTACAACCCTGGTATTAAATACCATATAAACATAGATGGCAAATATTATCCAAGAGAAGAATATTCTACAGTTGAGGATATGAGGTCATACAACTTGACATTAGATGCTATGAACTTTAACAACAACTTCACAACAACCATTAACCCTGAAATGCAAAGTTCTATTATGCCATATGTGAAAGTATGGACCCATACAGGAAGTCAAAAAACTCAATATACAAATGGAGACCGTTCAAACTTTTGGCTTGGCATTCCATTTGCTGACTCAGAAGACTTTATGGGTGGTATTTCAACTGTTGGTACTGTACAAATACAATATACTGGTGACAGAGACGGTCCATATGAACTGAGAGCAAAGAAGTTTACAAAACCAATAGCACTTTTCACGGAAGATGCTCTTTTGAAGATTCGTTCGATGAAACCTGCTGGGGCTCCTCAGATTGGCATAACGACAGCTTCCATCGAGCAGATTTTGGCAGCAGGTCAGTAAGTTGTTCTTGAACTGACTTCTCTCCGTCAAATATTGACAGTACGCCAGTTTTGACATAAAATTGTATTATAAACTTTCCTTTAGAAATATCGGTCAGTTTTGTTGTTATATTTTTGTCAACGTCAAGAACTTTCACCATCTCGTTATACCAACTTTCTTTGCTTTATGAAAATATTTTGGTTCAGCAAAGACTGCTATTCTATAACATTTTCCATTGTTTGTGTAAAGAACTATTCTATCAATGAACTTGTATTGTTTGTGTGTGTAAACTTTGTTTTGCTTCAATTCGAAGAGATACTCAAATACGTCCATCTTTTTATTCTAAGTAAAATGTCATTTCCGAAAAATAGAAGCGTGAGTGTTTCAAAAGGTTTAATGGCGGTGGCAGATGTGAAGTTAAATTCACCAACTCAAACAAACAGTCAAAGTGTTGTTGTCAATGTCAAAGAAAGAGATGTTGAAGTGGGGAAACCATACGAAGACGAAGATGGTATAACAATAGTTCCTGTAAAAGAACAACCAACATACCCTGAAGTTAGCAGAGACTTAAGTTCTGTTGCAGATATTCGAAACGACTACCAACAACTTAAAGACAAACTTAAAACTCAGGAGAAGATTTGTCAAGCTTTGGGTATAATGTTAAACTTGGTTGAGCACAACCCTGTAAAAGTGAACTCATATGTCATCGCACCTCATGAAGTTTTGAAAGAACTATTGAAACTTTTGACAGAGGCAGACGATATAAACATCAAAGAAATAGAACCCGACATTGCTTGCTGTGGTGTTTCATATAATGTCATTGACAAGATATACGTTATGAAAGGAGGTGAAACGTTGAACTTAAAATATAGTTTCCCAGACGTCATAAAAATATTTGACGACCACAACATTTCATTAAAAGTTTATTTGCTAAGTAAATGGCAGAAGACATAATGGTTTATACTATTACGACTAAAAACCCTGAGTCATATAATTCTATAACAACAAACTTACAAAGTCCTCAAGGACGATATTGTAAACTGAACCTTAAACACGAATGACGACTAAAGCCTGTTTTGCTCTTTTGACACCAGAAGACTTTGTTGTTGTGAATGGTAAAAAATACTTCTTTGAAGATACTTACTCAGATATACCACCAACAGGTTTTGTTGACTTATTTAATACTTTAAGGACGAGTGTAACATGTGCTGCAACTAGAGCAGGTTTCATTATGTTTGGATGTCCGACCGAGTTTAGTATAAACGATATGAGCTATAATACAAAACTTATATCTGGTTTTTACTACCAACAGTTTCCTATAACAGGAAAAGGTGTCATACAAGGAATGTCTGTTCCATTGACTTTAAGTACACCTATTTTATATATTGTTTCAAACTTAGGTTCAAAGTGCTATTCGAATGTCGACAGAAACTACTATGACCAAAAGATACTCATGCGTATAAACAACACTTTCTCTGCTGGTTTGCCTATTGTTCATTCGAATGCAGAATTTTCAACCTTAGTGAACTCAAACACTTTGCAAGTATAACGTTGACATTAGTTGACGCAAACTTTGTTCCTGTAAAACTTTTATGTCCTATGTATTTGTCAATGACGGCAGAAAGTTTCGAATTGGAAGATGCAACTGGTGAAAGTATTGTATTACAAGAACAACTTCAACAACAAATAGCTCAAGAACAACAAATGCAACAAATAGCTCAAGAATAAAAAAAATATTTTTTTTATTTTTATAAAAATGTACAGAATAGATGTTTCAGATTTTTATGACTTCCAAGCATTCAGAAATATGTGTCCATTTCGAGACTATAACAAAGCAGTCGAGAATTTGAAACGTTTAGTCATTTATGTTGACTCTGCCCCAGAATGTTATGTCATGAAAGAATGGGATGTTGTCTTTAACAAACCAAGAGCAACAATAGTTTCAGAACAAGAATGTAGACAGAAACTTAAGAAAATAAAAGTCGTACAAGTTGGAATGAAGATGTTAGATGCTTGGGATATCTTATTGTCAAAGTTAGAAGATTTTTCAGTTCGAGGTATAAAGTTCTATACACCTTCTCCAAACTTCTATTCTATCTTCACTGGATATAAATACGAACAAGTAGAATGGAAAAAGTATTATAGAAGCTTGGTTAGACCATGTCAAAGAAATTATATGCAATGGAAACGAAAAGGTTTATGAGTATATCTTATGTTGGTTTGCAAACATCTTACAACATCCAAGTGCTAAAAATGAAACTGCTCTCATTATAATTGGAAAACAAGGAACAGGTAAGAACACTTTCTTTACAGATATTTTGTGCAAACTGTTAGAGGGCTATTCGAACCGAATATGACAAACTTAGAAAACATCTGCGGTAAATTTAACTCCTCAATAGAGAATATGAAACTTATAGTATGTAACGAACTTCAAAGTATAGATACAACAAAGGTTTTAAACTCAGATGCTTTGAAGAGTCTTATAACAGACAAAGTTGGAGTTGTTGAAAGAAAATATAAAGACCAAAGAGTTTGTGAAAATGTTGCAAATTTCATTATGGTTTCAAACAACGCCGTTCCGATGAAGTTAGAAAGTTCTGACAGAAGATATGTAGTTGTCAGAACGTCAGATTCTCATATGCAAGATACAGAATATTTTGACGCTTAGTCAGAAACTTTGACATCTGACTTTTACAACCACTTGTTCTCATATTTTATGACATTAGATATTTCTAAGTTCAATCCAAGACAAATTCCATATACCGAAGAGAGACAAACATTGTTAGAAGCAAACAAGAGTGTATATGAACTGTTTATAGATGAGACTAACTTTGAGTGTTTAGATGAAAGGTCATTGTACGATTCATATAAACAATATTGTCAAGAGTATGGTTATATGGCAGCTTCTAAACGTACATTCTTGGCAAATGTCAAAAGTCTTTTAGATGTTCAGAACGGCGTATATACAAAGAAAAATTTTTCTGAGTAAATTTAAAAAAAACATTTTTTTATCCGATAGAAAAGATGACGAAATATATTTCAGTCAACAAGTACATGACAGGACTTAAAGAAGAACTAGACCCATTCATATATTTGAATGTTTACTTCTACCATTTTGAAAAGTCTACATTTGACAAAGTTTGGAACATCGAACCTGTTAAGTTTGCTATTGTGACTAAAAATGGTGCGAAATTTGAAGACTTAGACATAGAAGGTTTGTTAGCAGTCAAAGAAAATTTTGACAGAAAGTTTCTCAAACTCGAAGAAGGCAAAGCATACAAACTTGTTATACCTTATGAACCAAAGAAAGCAGACGACTATGAATATTATGAGTCTAAGATAGTTGAAGTTCAAGGTAAATTGGGTAAAAAGATTTTAGAGTCTAAACCAGTGTTTGCTCCTAAAGAGGAAGAGAACATTGACATTGACCCAGAAATGTTCTAAAAATAAAATTTTATTTTTACATGTCAAATTTCTTTTTCTCTGGAACTGGTTCAGGTTCTTTCTTCTCTTCTTCTACTTTCTTTTCTTTCTTCTCTCTCTTCTTCTTCTTCTCTGGTGGAGTTATGTCAAACTTCTCAGAACCATATTTATGTAAAAGTTCTTTGTCCTTTAATAGCTCTTCTATTCTGTTTTCTATTTCATCTTCAAGAACAGCGCATGTGCCTTCTTTGCATTCTAAGAACTTTTGTTGGACTTCATCTCTCCAAGAGGCGTCATCTCTGTCAACAAGTCTGTCATTGACAAACTTAAAGACTTCTCTGCCTAATGTTTTATGGTTCTTGTCATATTCCCAGAAACAGAACTTTAGAACAAATTCACCTTTCTTGTTTACACTATGTAAGATTTTATGGTCTACAGATGTTTTGCTGTCGAAAAGCTTGTCTCGAATATAGATAGCGAAATCGCTAGACATTTCCTAAAAGATAAAAATTTTTAATTTTTCTAAAAATATGTTAGAAAAAAAGTTTGCTGACATTGACAAGAAATTTGAGAATGTTTTAAACAAGAACAAGAGGAAGTTAGAAAATGCTCAGATAAAACCCATACATGACAAGTTCTTATTTGCTCAGAATGGTATAACAGGTCTAATCGCACCACCTGGGTCGGGTAAGACTTTCACTTATCTTAAAATGGCTGCACAACAACAAGAACTAGATGAGAAGAACCCATTCTATGAGTTAGTTGTTATTTGTAGTACTTCTGGTCAATTTGACCAAACCGTCAATTCGTTCAAAGATATTATAAAGAAGTCTAAGTTAGTATGTATAAAGGATACTGAGTTGTTAGATTGGATAAAGAAGTACCAAAGAAGAGTTTTGAAGTATAATGCTATAAATGAGTATGTCAATTCTAAGTTTAAAGACCCAAATGAGGAAATGCAGAGAATATTAGAGAAGAAACACTTCAGAAACAAACAGAAAGAGATAGAATACATTTCGAAGAAATTGCAATCTTACGATTGGAAGACATACCCTCATAGATGTCTTCTTATCTTAGATGACTTTGCTTCTCATCCTTTGTTAAAGAACAGAGAACAAGACATGTGTCGAATTCTTAAGAAGCTCAGACACTTTAACATCTCTGTTGTCATTTGTGTACAGACAGCAAAGAGTTTAAGTAAGGATGTAAAGAGAATACTGACTGACATTATACTTTTCCCTGGATTGTCCGAAGACGATTTCATGGAACTTATGAAAGAGTCCATGGCAGGTAAGTTTGACAGACATGAACTATGGGAGAAGTACAAAGTCATACAAGACCCTCATACTTCTTTCAGAATTCATATCTACGCGAACAAAGTTCAAATTGTAAAAAGTCAAGCTTGAAAAATGTAAGTGTTTGAGTCTTAGTCTGTTGTGGTGCTGGGGCTGTCGGTTCTTCTGGCTTTGGAAGACATTCAGGAAGAGGAACGTCGGACATTCGTTTGTGTCCTGTCGGAAGGAAGAACTTTTCCTGTTGTCGGGAAATTTTTTTCCAGTTGTCGGGAAATTTTTTTCCAGTTGTCGGGAAAAATTTTTCCAGTTGTCGGGAAAAAAGTTCTCAATTTTCGAAAATTTGAATGGTTTACGGACGAACAACAGGAAATTTTTTTCCAGTTGTCAGGAAATTTTTTTCCAGTTGTCAGGAAATTTTTTTCTTGTTGGAAGGAAGGACTTGGAATGTTGGAAGGAAGGACTCGGAATGCCAGAAGGATTTGACAAGACAATTTACCATCTAGAGCTACCTGAGCCATCTGAAGTCAAGACCAAAAATAAATGGTTCATTTACTCTGCTTGTTTGAAGTTGTCAAAATACTCTGTTATTTTTTCCTTTAACAATGGCAAATCTTCTTTGAAGGTAAGTATTGTACAACCTTTAATATCATAGTGTGTTTGAGGTAAAGTATCTTGAACTATTTGTTTCACATCTTCATTTGGGGTCATTGAAATCGGTAAGTTTTCGCGATAGAACCAATTTCTGTCAGATTTGTAAATCTTAGCAAGGTCGTAAAAGCTTTTGTTGTTTCTTCTGATAAATGCAACATAACCATATCTCTGTCTTCTTCATTTTCCATCTCTTCAGTGTAAATCATAACTTATAGTTCTTTTCCTTTCCTTTTGGTACCGAACGTGGTATTCTTTCTGTATGTTTTTGTCTTTGCTTCAATGACTTCATCTTTTGCTTGAAGTTTCTTTTCCATCTCTTCACGTTCTTGTCTATGAATTCATCTAACATCATGAAATATAACAAGCGTAACGAGGCGAAGCCCACATTGCAAACAGCATTTACAAGAAGTCTATGAACATAATATCCTTTCAAAACTATTTGGCAAATTTTTACGATTTTCGTACGGAATCTCGTTCCTCGGTTTTCCGAGGAACGCAAACATATGAGGAAATTCTTCTAAAAGTTCTTTTGCCTGCTGGTTTTCAAACCAATGATATGCTTGCTTTGTAGAACGAAGAGCTGTCAAAATACTTTGCATTTGGTACATATCGTCTTTGACCGAACGAATGAGACGTAACTGTTTGTTATATGTATGTACTCATATTCTTCATTTATGGCTTCATGAACGATAGCAGTTGTTGTGTTCTCTGATGTTGACATACTGTCTTTACATACAAAATAAAAAAATATTTTATAAAAAACTAGCGTTATTTTCTATCTTGTATAAAGACCAAAAATAACGCTTTACATGATTTTTCAGCAACTTCGTCAAGAAGTCTGTAAATATACCAAGCATAGCGAGGCGAAGCCCACATTGCTATTGAACTAACTAGGAACTTATGAAATAATTACTTTTAGATGTGATGGTAATTTTGTCTGTCTTGGTACATCTTTTTAAGTTCTACATGTTCAAACTCACTGAGGAGTTCATGAGTGCTTATTTAATTCAAACCAGTCTTGTGGTTTCTTAGTATCTGGAGCAAAACATGCTGTCAAAATACTTTGCATTTGGTACATGTCATCTTTGACCGAACGAATGAGACGGAGTTGTTTGTTAAACTGTATGTACTCATATTTTCATTTATGGCTTCATGAACGATAGCAGTTGTTGTGTTCTCTGATGTTGACATATCTGTCTTTACATACAAAATAAAAAAAATATTTTATAAAAAACTAGCGTTATTTTTTCTGTCTTAAGGAAATTCATGAAATTTGGTCATTTTTTTCAGCAAAAATATATTTTAGGTGAAGAGGTGAGATTTCACTGTTTTTTCACCTCTTTTTTCACCTCATGAATTTTCATGATTTCATCGTAAATGTTTTGTCAAGACTTCTTCGTATATGTTTTGTCAAGACTCTTCGTATATGTTTTGTCAAGACTTCTTCGTATAGTTTTGTCAAGACTTCATCGTATATGTTTTGTCAAGACTTTAATCGTCAATGAGTGTAAAACAGACAAAAATATATTTTAGGGTAGAAGGGTATATCTACCCCGTTTTCTACCCTCATTTCTACCCCATATGTCCTTACTGAAAAAGTATGTGTTCCATATGTCATTTTACTCAGAATTTTGTTGCTGAATTCAATAAAAATATATTTTAGGTGAAGAGGTGAGATTTCACCTGTTTTTTCACCTCTTTTTTCACCTGTTATTTTATAAGCGTTTTACATGAATTGTATGATGTATATTTGAAATCCTAAACAATTTCGTAGCTTCTATTTCTTCTGTCAGTACATCGAATGTTTTAACAATGCCGAAAGTTTCTTTATATTTCTTCTTGACATCTGAAAGAAGGAAATCGTCAGCTGTTGGATAGTTTTTGTTCAGAAATGCTAACATGTCCATTTTATCTTCTGCTGGTTTTTCTGCTTCTTTCTTTAAGTCAGCATAGTCGTTTCGCATACGTTCTATCTCTTTGACGGAGTAGTTATATTTCCTCATTGCAGCTTTACATTTTGAACATTGCGGGTTCATTTTAGCATTGTACATTGAAATCTTACCTGCTAGTATGACTAAGGCGTCAATGGTTTTCTTTAACTCAAAAGTTGCGGGTTTTATCTGTTCATTCCATACTTTACCTCTTTTATCTTTATCTCTTATCTGCCATACACATTTTGCAACTAACGAAACAAAGTCTGTCGTAGGTCTTAAACTCCCCAGATTTATATATGTCAGAGATGTTCTTATATACCATGTCGCAATCTTTGTCCATGACTTTGTGGTTGCAATGAAATCCTAGAAACTCATAGTTTACCTTTCGTATGAACTTCTTTATTTCTACTGAGTCAGTTGGTTTCACTTCTATTTCATCGAATTCAGGAATAGTGAGCTTTTGCTGCTGAATTTCAGGAAGTTTAGGTAGATGGTCGATGAGGTCCTGCATTTCATAAAGATACTGTTCATTTGTTTCATCTTTTGCAGTGCAATCTAAATCTCCTTGGAGAAGTTCTTGCTTTATCTTCTGGATTTCTGTTTCGAAAGTATATGAAGAAGGAATGAAGCTTTTCATCTCTACTAACATAGATGTTGGGTTCATGACTAACGAGTTTGGTGCTGTTGTTGCTAACATGTTCTTACAATAAAAATAAAAAAATATTTTTTTAAAAAAACCAACTTTATTTTTTATTTCGGGAAAATTCAAGAGGGTGAAAAAACAGGTGAAAAGAGGGTGAAATCTCACCTCTTCACCTAAAATATATTTTTGTCTGATTTACGCTCATTACGATGAAGTTTCGACAAAACATTTACGTTCATGTTTGACAAAACATTTACGATGAAATCATGAAAATTCAAGAGGGTGAAAAAACAGGTGAAAAAAGAGGTGAAATCTCACCTCTTCACCTAAAATATATTTTTGTCTGAATTCAGCAACAAAATGGTTCATTTACTCACAATATTTTTGTACAAAACGACCCCAAACTTTTAACTTCTTTTCTGCAGCTTCTAATGCTATCTTAGCGAGTTCATATTCTCTAAATTCTCTCTTTAAATCTTCTTGTTCCCATTGGTCTAGTTCGTATGGAGAATCTCTATAACCAGAACATATCTCACGTTCATGTTCTATTTGTTTTTCATGCATTTTTCTAACTTCTTCTTCGAACAAAGGTTTTGCATTCTCTACTGTATCTTCAAGTTCTTCTTCATCTAACTTCTCATGAACTTTCTTGTCTATGGAGTCCAGAATTTTTCCAACTGCTATACAATATTTTGGAGAAGCCCACATTGCTATATAGTTTACGAGTCTTGGGTCTACATACGTTCCTCTAACCTGTTTGATTTCATCCGGAATTCCTGCATGAACCTTGTATAAAAAGCAACCCGCCGTTTTCCGCGGGTTGGTATATTCTTCACAAAATGCCGTATAATACTCTTCCCAGGACTTATTTTCCAACAACTTTCTAAAGTCTTTCCTAAACTGCTGACACATATTTGTTACATTTATATAACCATCCTTGTCTCTACGTAAGACTTCAATACCGTTGTAAGTGCCTTTTGTGAATGTTTCGCCATTAGATTTGTTCGTGAACGTTTTTGCTTCGACTGACATTACTGTTCTTACAATAAAAATAAAAAATATTTTTGAGTGGTACGTCGGACATTCGTTTGTGGCTTAACCGTCGGACATTCGTTTGTGGCTTAACCGTCGGACATTCGTTTGTGGCTCGACCTCAAAACAAGCATTTTGTGAAGAATATACCAACCGCCGGAATTCCGACGGTTGCTTTTTTTATACAAAATTCAAGAGTTTTGCGTGTTTTCTACGATGTTGTCAAAATGTCGTGTTGTCAGTAATTTTAAGAGAAGTTCATTTGACCGAGGCACATAGGCACACCTAAAAACCATCTAACCTAAAATATATTTTTTCTGTCTTAAGGAAATTCATGAAAATTCAAGAGGGTAGAAAAGAGGTTAGATATACCCATCTACCCTAAACATTATTTTTCAATACTTTTTCAGCACTTTTCCGTAGTTGTATATGAAAGACAATTCGAGATAAAAGTCATAGTACAATGGTATTATATGCTGCACACCGTTTGTTCTTTGTTTTTCAACCTGAAGCATTTTATATATGTAAAAATATACTGTTTTAAAAATGTTTTAAAATGGTATGCAATGTTTTATTTCATGCAATGTTTTATTTCTGTGCCGTCTTCAAGTATGCCCCAGTACTTACGCTTGGAGAGGACATGAACTTCGGTGAAAATTTTGTCCAATTTGAATTGACCCATCTTCTCACCGACTAAACCCATTTCAATGAGTTTGTTGTATCCTTCTTCGTTCGTCATGAGTGCGTCAATGTTCTCATAGTAAACCACAACTTTCGATTTGACTTCGGAGAAGAATTTGTTGTAGTTGTCAAGGACTGCCTTTGCGAACTGAGGGTAAGACCAATGTTCGACAATAGGTTTTACTGTGGTTACTAAGCCACCTTGACCTTGAGTAAATTCGTATTTCAAAACAAAAGGGGAGAACCTTTCAACAAAGTTGTCGACCTTCTCATAGTGTTTACTCTTCATCTTTTGAGGTTTCTTAATGGAATATCCCCATGTCGAATTCATAAGCAATTTGAGTGTCATTGCAAGTTTGGGGTTTGAAGCTTTCCTAATATCATACAGTTGTTGTATGACTTTTCCAACTGTATAGTTCCTTCCTGGGAACTCACCGTCTTCGTTTGGAATTCCAGTCGGGATATATTGGACGAACCTCATGTATGCAGCGTTAAGGTCGACATAGTATATCTTTTCGTTTGAGTCGAACTTGTCGCAACCAATGGGTCCAGTTCGTGGAAATTCAAGTGAGTCTCTTATCTTCTGAGAAACTTCGCCTGCTATCTCATAAACATCGTCGAAGCAACCTGTTTCATATAAAACCTTCTGACCTAACTCCGATGCTCTCCAATACAATTTGACGTCAATTGGATGTCTCAATGGAAGTTTGTTTATAGCATCTTGAAGTTCTTGCAACCTCATTGGAAGTTCTTCTGGTTCAGGTTGGTATCCGAACAATCCAACTCCTTTTGGAACAGTGTACTTCTTTTGTGCTATAACTTTGTCTGGAACAACTTTTGGTCTTGCTAACAATGAAAAGTTTGTTTCGTCTTTTGGTACAAAAGTTTCTGTCAGCTTGTCATCTGGAATTGGTTCCAACAAACCTTTCTCGAAAAGAATGTTTACAGCTCTGACAATGTTGCACTTGCCTTTTCCGAACAATGGGTTTGTAAGACTTTCGTTCAACATGAAGTGGTTGTGGACAATTACAATCTTCAACCATGGTAATTTGAAGTCAACAACATAGTCGTCATGTGAAGAACCTTTAGCTGTAGGTATGTTGACTCGGATATTGACATTTGCCAACGGTGCAATTTTTGCCAATTGACCTCTGAGAATGTACCTTGTCTTCACACATGACTCAAGATACTTCATCTTCTCATCTGTAACAAGACCAGAGTTCCTGAGACATGTAAGAATACAAGGTTCATTGACAATTGTTTCAATTGAATTGTAAATTCCATACCTTGTCAAGTCAATGTCAGACTTATTTATGAACGGGAAGTATCCAGCATGTTGTCTGACTGCTTGAGGGTTAGGTTGGTACCATTCGAACTTGACACTTGCAATTCCTTCAATTGCATTCAAAATGTCTGAGTCGGAGTCAACCATTTGTTCTCTCTTTGTAGTCTTGAAAGCGTCAAGAAGCATTGCAGCTGTTGTGACATTGCCATGCGCATAGTATATATGACCGTCCAAATCTGTTACGGTTAGTCTGAGATTGTATCCTTTCTTATTTCCGTCTTGTATGGCAGCAAGTACACCCATGAAGCCTTCTTTGTTCTTTCCTTCGTCAAAGTTTACTGTAAAGGTTCGACCAGATGTAATTTGACTTCTAACTTCACGATACTTTTCATATGCATATCTTGTTCTTTCCATGGGAGCATGTGCGTCTTCACCTTTTCCTTTTTTCCTTCTCAAAGGATGCAATTGTTCGTCATGTTTCCAGTAGAACCTGGCAAAGCCGTCGTGTCCTTCAACTTGAGGCTCACTAACATTGAAAGGCATGTCCATAAGCCGTTCTTCTTCTAACCTCTCTAGTCTGTTTGGATAATTGGCGCGCGCTGTTTCCAAATCCATTTCGTAGCGAAGACCAGACAATTTGTCATAGACTTTTATGGGTCTTCCCTTCCTATATTTAAACTTTTTCGAAACTTTCCAACCATATCTTTCTAACTCTGCTTTTATTCTAGCAGATTTTCTATCCATTCTATACGGGGGCATTTTTATAAAAATAAAAAAATGTTTTTTTTACTTTACGTAAGCACTTGCTGCCAAAAGTCTTTGACGCCAACCCATACCAGCTAATGAAGGTTGGCTTGGTTTAGTTTGGAAACTAACCTTTGGTTTTGGTTTTTCTTCAGTTTTTGGCTTCCCTTCTTCTATTGGTTTTTCGTCACTTTTCGGTTCTTCTGGCTTTACCTCACTTGCAGGTATGGTTGTGTCGTCAACATCTTCGTAAATATCATATGCCATCTGTTTTTGTTTTCCTTTCAACTTTTTGTGTTTGTTGTAAAGTTTAGAATATTTCGACTCTAAGTCAATGAGATGTTCTATAATGAACTGTTTGTCAGTGAAGTAAACTTTTCCATCTTTTGTCTCGAAACCTCCTTCAGACTTCAATATTTTATTTGTGAGAGTCTGTTTCTTTTTTGAGATACTAGCCGTTCCATTTCTATGAAAAGTGACTTTGTAGTTAGGGTTTGTATTTCCAGACCTGGCACTTTCTATTATTGAATTTTTCTCTTCATCTGTAAGTTCTTTGACAGGTTTTGACAATGGTTCTGAACTTTTTGTTTGTGGTGTCAAATATAATCTACCGTTTTCACTTCTTCGGTCATTTCATGTCAAGTAAAAAATTTTAGTTTGTTTGTTTTTCTGGTTTTGTCAACCTGGTTGTTTTTCATGGTTTGTTGTAGGTTTTTAAGTCGGTTCTAGAAAACTTCTGAGGTAGTATGGAGGACTTGTACAAACACGTGTTGGTGTAACTGCTGGAAGTCGAACCAAATCCATCTTGAACCCATTTGTCTCAATGCTTGTTTGTTCATTTCAATCTCAGTAAAAAAATTGTTTACATTCCCACGTTGAAAGGCGCGTTGCTGGTTGGTTGTTGTTTTATCGCCACTGTTGTGGCAATGGTTATATCCTACTGTAAAAGAACTTTCACCTTGGGTCCATATAGTGGTCCTGCTTGGTTATAGTATCCATTTGCTTTGTTATATGTAGTTTCCTGCTTTCTCTTCCTACAATTGTCCATGCCATCCTTGACTTTTCCTTCTTTTGTTTCAGGATTTTTGGAAATAAGATTTGCTGCATCTCGTGCTACACTCCCAACCTTTTCTTACAGTTTTGTATAATAGGTTTGTTGCTTTTCTCTTAAAGTATAACTATGTACTAAAGATCTTCCTTCACCAAAATCGACCCGGTTATGGTTCGCGAGGCAAAAATCTGTAGAGCAACTCCTGCCCTAAATGCGCCAAATAAGCCTATTTTCTCTTATGGTAAAAAGATCCGAAATCCAAAACAAGTGACCCGCTAAATGTTTCTAAGGCAACCAAAGAAAGCACTCATGAAAAATGCTTTAGTTCAACACCAAATGGCTTGGGTTATATGGATATCCTTGTGGAGAAAATATCTGCCAGAGGTAATAGAGAGAGAAGCATGGACCTCCCATACTGGTACATATTTGTCGGTCCAAAAACAAAATATACTGTGGCAAGCCATACCATTATGGTCCAAAATAATTTTAGATGTGAAAAACTGCTTTTACAATTATTCGTTGTATCAAATACCATCCCAAACCATAAACTGACATCTGAACCTGTGAAAGTTCTTTCAAATCAGATGAATGTTAAAAAACTATATGCGTTCAATAAAATGGTTAAACCAATATTTCATTGTCGACCAAAAAACCATTTCTGCTCTTGGTGTTCATTTGACAGTTTTTTGTATAGAAAATTTCTTAAGAGACTTAAATCAACCACAAGGTGGTTGAGTTTAAAGATGAAATTGTCATATGACGACAAGTATAGACCAATTTCTCCATGCCAAAGATGAGACAAGTTTTTTAAATATTTACAAATAGCGTAAAACAAAAAGGTTTGGAAACCACATCCCGAAAGAAATGAAAATAACAACCCGACCTTAGAGTAAGACTATATATTTTAATAGTTTATGTCAAAAGAGACAATGCAAAGTTAAAAGAATGCAATAGGCTTCATTATAATTTAATGAAATCAGGTTGACTGTAAGTAAAATAGAAATTACCAACTTTCTTCTCTAAATTTATTACCGCGATGAAACAACCCACGAAATTGCGAGTACCCTGTCGAGTTCATGAAAATAACTCCATTGATCTTAGGACATCAATGATCATGGAGAGAGATAACATTCGAAAACAGTGAATGTACTTTCATATGGCATTCGTCGGCGTCGGTAAATGGTAAATTTCTATTTTTACTTTGTCACCTTGTCTTAAAATTGATTAAGCCATGACATTACACTATTCGTTGTT